CCATGCAACCGTCGATGCCAATACTTGAGTAGGCGTTTGCGATGAATTCGTTTCCACCTCTAGGCTCCTTGCTGAAGGCCTGCCGTACGTAGGTGATCCAAAGACTGCTTTGCGAGTGTAAAAGATTCCGTTTGAGCATTTCACCCAGTCGTTGAAGTGGGGAGCGGTTCTGCTTTGAAAACGTTTAAACGCCGGGCAAGCGAGTTTGCCATGTCCGAATTCTTCACAGTGAAAACATTGCCATATACCCTTATGGACTTCCTCCCGGGCATTCCTCGGCGGATTGATCGGAGATGCCTCAGTTCGGTCCCGTTCTCGCGTGTCAGGAAAAATCGGACCAGGAGGGTTTGGGCCGTGCAAAGATGGCTTAGCTCGTGATTGATAAGAAGAAGGTGATTGGTAGGATTGAGGAGTAGGTTTTGATTTGTTCCATTTCGCAGGCGTCATATTTCTTTGAAATGAAGTTGTGAGGGCGGATATAGTATGATCGTTTTCATGTACGGTTTTTCTTGTCGTGATTAAATTTTGAAACGCCGCTCTGATTTCTGATGAAGAGAAAGGGGATTTGTCGGTACGATAACGAGCGTCGAACGTAGCGTTTAAAACATCCATTCCGTACTCCCCAGAAGTCGGAGAGCACATCTGCATAACCATACCCTTCACGATGTCCTCTTCCCAGTTAAAACCGGCTGATTTGAGTTTCTCAAAGTCCTTGTTCATCTCGTTCACAAAAGTCATCAAGTCCGTGGAGGAAGGATCGAAATTTTTTAGCATGATTTTTCTGAAGATTACATATTGAGCCGTTCTTCCACCTTGTTGAAAGAGTTCCTCCAAGGCATGTAAAGCTTCATGAGATAGGGTCTTCTTGTAGATCATGTCCTTGAGCTCTTCGTCAATAGTCGAATTGATGACACGCCCAGCACACCTGTCAATGGCCATTTCCACCGGATTGTCTTGATTAATCTTAGACGAATCCCAATACCCTGCCACACCGGTCATATCAAAAACCGCTCGCTCCGTACGGTGTTTCCATCTAGCAATGTTCGATCCGTCAAGTTTCAAAGGTTCAATTTTTTCGATAAACTTGTGTACGTTATCGTGTTTCGTGTTGAGTTCTTTCAGTCGTTTGTTTAGCGGATCCGACATGTTGAAAGAATCTTGTGAAGAATTTCGAGAAAGAAAAATGGTTTGATGTCGTTTGTTTTTACTGAGGCTTACGGTTTGGTCTGCCTGATCAGAATCTTCTTGATCGATACGGTCTTTAGCGGAATCAGATAGTGGGGGGAGTATGAAAGATGCGGGATTGGCGGGAGGTCCTGGAAAACCTGAAGCTGCTAGGGGTGTGTGATCTCTAGTATGGGTGGGATTCCCTTCGGTTTCTTGCGATTGTAAACGTTCACGTGAGTTGTTACGAGATGGGTTGCGAGATTGAGTACGAGATTGGTTACGATTACGGGAAGGGTTACGAGAATGTGAATTCGAACGAGACTGATTTCGAGATCGAGTATTTGCGGAGGGGGTATTTCCGTGAGGCCTGTTTGGGCTTCTAGCTAACGATGGCATATGATGCAACGCTGAGTGGCGGCTCAGACTTACTCTTTATGAGGCAATTACACTTTTCGTTTTGATTCTTTGTGATTCGATGGTAACGCTGCTCATAACCTATTAACGATAGGACGGAAGACTCCGTTAGCTAACACGGCTTCGGCTCCACAAATGGTGATGATGTATTACCTATTAACGATAGGACGGAAGACTCCGTTAGCTAACACGGCTTCGGCTCCACAAATGGTGATGATGTGGAAGCCGTCGCCGAGCTGAGTGCGCTATATCTACAACAACTGTACGACCTGCACGTGACCTGCTGGTGCGCAGTCGTGTACACCTCTGACTCTACAACAGGTACAAGCGTGCATACATGTGAACAGAAATAAAGTTTGAATAGGAATAAGGTTTGATCCACAGCGTGTCCTAGTTGAGTGAGTTAAACTTTGATACACAAAGCTTGCACAGAGAACAATACGTGCGAGCAGGGGCACCGAATTCAGAGTTAGGGGTGCTTGTCAGAGCTCTGAACACGCTACAGTCAAACCTGTGCAAATGCATACCTGTGCAGATGCATAATTGGCCATTTTGCATAAGGCTTGGGTTCCACCAAGCTGGTGCGGGCCAAAATTCAGATTAATGCATAATATAATACTGAATAGCCTTTTGGCAGAAAAATCCATATGTTGGTGGTCATAATGCATAAAGCCCCGGGGCCGGCCCTGGGGCTTCCTGCGATTTGGGAGACAAAAATTTGTCAAATGAGCAAGCTGTACATTTGTACATCTCATAGAACTTCCTGAACTTGATTTTTAAGGATCATTGTACGCATCTACAATACACGCCGCACTTGTTGCCTCCTTTGAAAGACCCAATACATACAGATAACTTTTTTGGTTTTGTTGAGCGTGGTCATCAACCCTGTGCCAGCAACGCAACGCACCGCAACACGAGTGTTTTTTGGTGCGTTGCTCCGCAACACGCAGCACAAACCTGCATTACATGCTGCGCTGCGGTAAGTACCGCAACAACAAATGGTGAGGTCAGGTTGCGCGGCGCCTTGACCGTCGCGCAACGCAACAGGCGCAACAGCGCCAAAAAAACGCCGAACTGTGATTTTTTTTGGGCAGCAACGCAACAAATGTTGTTGCGGCCCAAAAAATCCATCGATTTGACAAATGATGTTGCGCTGCGGGTCAGGCCGCAACCTAGAATTTGATTCTATGTTGCGCTGCGGTCAGAAAAACCGCAACGCAGGCGCAGCGCAACACGCAACACCTGCGTTGCTGGCCCAGGGTTGTGGTCATAATGCATATTTTTATGCACTATGACCATAATGCATAAAGTTATGCATTAACAGAAAACCTGTGCAAATGAATGAACGGTCAAATTGCATAGAAAAACTCGTCCACCCAAATTATGCATTTGCACAGGTTTGACTGTACCCATGCTCAGAGGTAGGGGTCTGACAGCTCCCGCTCCTCAGCATTCGGTGTGAGTCCCCCCCTCAGGCCTCTCCTCAATCCACTAGATAATCGAGAGGATTAGAGTACCTCAGGTCTAGTTGGAGCCCCGAGAGAGGCCCCGAGGGGCCCCCCCAAACCACTCCTACCCTACCTAGACTAACCGGAATAGCCTAGTCAGGATGGATGTGGAGGGACTCGAATATGAGGTCCGAGACAACAGCCCGACCACGTAGAACCTAAGCTCAGAACTCACATACTCCATGAGAGGAGTAGACAAATTCTTAAGTTAATGAGTTGAATAATCCAGAGAGAATTTTGGGGAAAAGAGAGATACATCGACCATGTCTCATCAAACCCTTGTTCGGGGCTGACTGTGAGCCATTTCTGCATGAAAAAGTGACACACCTTCGCGTTATTATATCTGGTCATGTCCTTGAGGAGATGTGGTGTGAGTGACAGGCAAAATCGGCAGTGTGTAGTTGCTCAATAGCGTGATGATATCCTTTAATCAGGGAGAATGTTTTGCGCAGATCGTCAGATCATTTGCTTGGGAGGTATATTTAGCCTTACGCGCGATCTACGCACTGAGGCCACCAAAAACAATAGTATGAATCTGATGAATAAGCAATCTAGTTAGGACTTGACTCTGCATGAACAGAATAGATGATGAAATTCTGGTATTACTTCTTAAGCCTATAGTAACTTATGAGGTCCAAAGATTCATGGATTACATTGGTGAGGTGACCCAGTTGTTGAACACGAACTGAAGGATAGCATCATGGAGATTTTCTCGGCTTATCCTTGGTGCTGCTCCATGAGCGCATTGTTTGCACTTCAACTTGACTTTCTTCTTATTGACCATCTTGCCTATGTGATTCCCAAACTCGTCAAAAGCATTATTGACAATCGTGTGTAGCTTTTTGTTTCCCAAAGATTTCCTCTTTTATCCAATAATCTTCTCCAGATTCCTCTCAACACCTTTCACAGCACTTGTTATGAAGCAGATCCATGGATGACCTCTCTCGCGACAGCTCACATTTCCTATGAAGGTTGACCCACTGTTGTATTGGAATTTGGATGTTATGTATCACAACCTGATCCTATCGCCAATTGTGAAGATCTATGGTGTACGTCTTGACTTCATCATGCGGTTCATCTCATATCAGATTCTGCTCTCAGCATCCCTGCTACACCGGGAAGTATCATCCACTCTTACGAATCCGTTTGGGGGAGATGTTGCACTCGCCTATCAAGTCTACTAGATAAGCTTAGATAAGGCAAGAGTGTCCAACACCTTCATATTGACGTTCGAATTCAAAAAAACTGACGCTCTGCATCATGGACTCCATCAAATTTGAGGCCTCGTTGGATAATTTACTGCGATTGGGTACATCTGAATGATCGAAGACGCGGTCTCCTCAATGTCTGTTACATAGATACGACATGGTCCGATTATATGTGTGATTGTATTTGCTACTCCGATTTGATGATTTCCTATCTTATCTAGACACATCGTCTTTCGAAAGTTTGCCATCACATTGAAATTCTAATCAGTGTATGAGATCCTGGTGAATTAATACAAAAACTCCTACGGGCCTTCATTGTTCAAGAAAATTGTAGCTTTCATCAAACTTCAAAGCAATTGCTGTACAATCTTAATCGGCAAGCAATTTTATTACCTGGATCGGCTGGAAAGAATGTCACCCTCGGCACGCATCGGAGACCTTTTCAGTCTTAGAGAGTGGTCGGAGTGATTCTTTGGAAGGCATTGGGTGAGATCTGGAACTATTAAAGGTGGTCAAGTTCTGTCTTTGAGAGCGCTTTCCTTCGCAATTCTAAGAGCCTCTAGATTTTTGATTGGTGTTAGGCACTACATTTTTTTGTGTTTTTAAATCTCTTACTAAATATTGAGGTTTGACGATGTCGTCAAAGAAGCCGGTATCGATTGCAAGATGGCTTTGGTTGAAGAAGATTCTCATTGTCTCTTGTATGCTTGCAGAAACAACCCAGATGACAACTCCAAAGTAAGTCCAATCAATACAAACTCGTATGTTTTGTCATATTATTAACCTTCATCTTCTTTGTATTTTCTATCTCAGATCCGTTGTGAAACGGAGTACGATAAGTCAGTTACACTTTGTCAGGTGTTTAGTTGATCCATAAAACTGACTAGACTCTGCCCTTTTGTTTCTTTCTTTGCCACATTTTGATATCTACAGCTCCTTCTCTTTCCATCGACAACATCAACCCAGCCGTAGTTCAAGCCCAATATGCTGTCCGTGGTGAAGTAGCCGTTAGGGCTGAGGAGTTTGTTTACTTGTTTTCTTGCAGAATCAAACCATCATGTTACTGATCAAATCAAATATCTATAGAATCGAGAAAGCGTTAAGGAAGTCAGAGAATCCATTGAAGGAATTTGGCTTTGATCGCATCTTGAGGAATAACATTGGTAACCCCCAAGATATGGGTCAAAAGCCTATCACGTTTAATCGTCAAGTAAGTCATCACCCTTTGAATACGGTGTGCGGAATGGAAGTAGTAACACGTGCATTTATAGGTAGCAGCTTTAACGGAATTACCAAGTTTGATGGACCTTGAAGAGCTTAACTTCCCAACAGACGTCGTCCAACGTGCCAAAGAGCTCTTAGAGGCCATGGGAGGAAGCATTGGGGCATACAGTGCTTCCAAAGGACTTGCATACATCCGTGGACATGTTGCTGAATTCCTCGCAGGTCCTTACGCCTTCCCTTCATCCATCATTTCTTTATCAGTTGTTGAAACTTCGCATATATTTTCGCGATCAATTACATTTTTCTAACAGAACGCGACGGTGGAGTTGAGGCCGACCCAGAGTTGATCTACCTTACAACTGGTGCTTCTTCCGGCGTAAAGGCAATCTTGCAACTAATCCTCGCATCAGAGCAAGATGGAGTTATGATTCCTATCCCACAATACCCACTTTACTCGGCTACTCTTGCTCTTCAAAAAGCTCACCAAGTGCCGTATCAGCTTTTAGAAGAAAAACAATGGGAACCTGATCTAGAATCTCTTGAAGAGGTTATAAAGAAAGCAGCTGCTGAGGGTACACGTACTAGAGCGATGGTGCTCATCTCACCAGGAAATCCTGTGGGAAATGTCCTCAGTCTTGAGGCTATGAATGAGATCATCAGATTCTGCGCTTCTCATAACTTAGTCTTGATAGCAGATGAAGTTTATCAGGCAAATATAGCCAATCATGTTTTGAAGAAATTTGTTTCTTTCAAACGGGCCCTCTCAACCCATCCTGATGAGGAACTTCGAACACAAGTACCATTAGTGAGCTTACATTCGATCTCAAAGGGTCAAACGGGTGAATGTGGTCGTAGAGGAGGATTCTTAGAGATTGTCAACTTTCCTAAACCTGTGCAAGAACAACTAACCAAGCTGGCTTCAATCGACCTTTGTCCACCGATTCAAGGACAAATCGGTGTTGATGTATTGGTCCGTCCACCTAAACCTGGAGAACCCAGTTATAAAAAGTGGTATAAAGAGACACGTACAATTCAAAAGAACATGAACAAGAATGCAGCTCAACTTTCAAAAGTCTTTCAATCTACTTCTAAAATGTCTTCATCTGAAGCTCAGGGTGCCATGTATCTCTTCCCACAAATTGAACTTCCCAAGAAAGCTATAGAAGCTGCTCAAAAAGCTGGAAAGGAACCTGACTTATTTTACTGTTTGGAACTTCTTGAAAGAGCTGGTATTTGTGTAAGTAAAACTTCATATCTTCCCTATACTTTACTTTTTCCTTCTTGTCCCATTATTTCTAATCTGATAACTAAAATCAACGCGTTTTAATTATTCCCTTCATCATCATTCAGGTGGTACCCGGTTCAGGATTCGGTCAAGCTGAGAATACTACACATTTCCGTACCACTTTCCTTGGTGATCAAACTGATGAATTTGTCAAACGCTTCACCAAGTTTCATGCAGAATTTCTTGAAAGATACAAGGATTGATTATGATCCATTGAAGATTACCTTTCCAGTTCAGCTTCATCTGATTCTGATCATCATCATTTTTCTCTCTCTCAATCCAATCTATATCCTTGCCAAGGCTTTGTTTTCTAGCAGCTGCTCTAGGCCCAACCTTTCAAGAATTATCATAGCTAGACATACCACATTTCATTCTATCAAATCTTTAGCTCAAAATCATTTCTACTATCGGGTCACTCGTTCAATCATTTCATCTTGTTCCTCGGTCCTTGTATGAGCACGCCTGAAGCGCGCAAAGCTGTCATCACTGTCTACTTGGATCTATCATTGTATACCCGGGAAATGAAAAAAACATCTCCCCCACACACGTGACACGCGTTTCCCTCATGAGGGTATAAATCAGGTTGTCCTTGTTTCTGGGTGTAGGATCATAGCACTACATCATGGGATTGGAAAACTTTTCCTTCATCAATTTTTACTCTGTACCTCTTCACCAATTGTGAGGTGATGTCCCTGATACTTCGTCCAAGCTATTATTTGCCAGCTGGCGCATATTTCTGATACTTTAGAGTCGTCCACTGTTTGAGCAAGAAACGCCCATGAGGTCTAGAATCAGTCTACTTTGACATCTTTGGGTCACCTAGAGCGTATATAAACGTGTCAGTGCAGACATCATTAGAGACATATGCAAGATAGTCAAAGAGGTAGTGAATCGCACCATATATATAATACAAAGGGGTCAAAATGCATTACAAATATATAAGTTAACAAATAAGATATAACGAATCAAAAAACAACAAGGCTTAGACGGCTGAATTCATCCCTTGGACTTTGGATTTCGTTCACGTTCTTTACGATCGATCAAAACCTCTAATTCTTTATTTTTCTTCATCAAATCTTCTAAACTGATCATCTCTACTTGACCTTCAGAATTAAGTTTGATTCCACTATAAACTCCTATTGGTACTCTCATTTTCTTTGTAAGGGTTTGTGCACGTCTTTGAATTCTTTGGATTGATTGAGTTTCTGATTCTGAAGTTATAGATGATCTAAATACCGAGATTAGAAAAAAAAACCCAAGCTTTGTTTAATAAATTTGTCCTATTGTTTTTTATGATGAGCTTTAGGATTGAGAAATACTAACTTGATTGATTGGTTTAAAGTTTCTTCTAAGATTTCACAACTTTTAATTGATAATGGTTTCCAAACTTCTTCCACTTTTCTTTTGGGTAATCTATGTTTGATGGTTTTGGTTTGACGATTCGGTAGTGATTCTGATCTTGATTGAGTTCTGGTTTGTGAGTTTGAGATTGTCATTCTTGAAGTGGAAAAGACTTGGGTTCGTTAAGATAACTTTGGAAGTTTTTATAGAAATCAGTTGATGGTACATAAGAATTTCAAAGAGAGAAAGAGAGAGTCAGATTATATGCACTCCTCACTATAAGCATACTAGACATCAGTATGTTTCTAGACAAACACGCGTCGAAGCGGTACGTGAATTCTCAAGATATCGATCTTCACAAACCGTTCAACTTATTCAGATAACATTCAGCATACGATATCATCATCAAGATACGAGAAAATATATTTGACCCACAGGAATTGTTTTGGATTGATAAAACACAATGGTGCGCTCTTTGAATCAATAATCATCGCGGGCTAGAAATGTAAACGAAACCATAGGCTGATTGTCTGCTTGGAGGGTTCTCGTCCGAGGCGACCGACAAAGGCACAAGGAGCAGCGAAATACGTTTCTCCTTGATACCTTTGTTCGATAGCCCAGGTCGAGTTCACCACCACGCTTCAAATTCGAACACAGGCTTCACCCACAAAACGTCGTCGAGATTCATCTGTACCAGCACACGGTTCAGGTCTTTTGAACCAACCAGAAGATCAACCAACACCTTCTTCCTTGCCACCTTCTTCACCACCTCCACCTTTTACAAGTGATACAGAAAGTGATGGAGTCATAGATGAAGCTATAGATGATCTAGATGAAGGCGATAGGGATGGAGACGAAGAAGAAGATGGAGAAGATTTATTTGCAGATGATATGATGAAGTAAGTTCTCATAAGCTTTCAAGTTTTTATTTTTTTGAAAAAAAAAGGATTTACTTCAAAAAAAAACGACTGAAAAGTTTCTGATATTCGATAGTTTCTTTTCATAAGTGATTATGCAGCTAATCCGAAATTAGATCGATACGATCCTGCTGCCATTGATGATGATGATGATGATTTAGATGCTATGGATCCAGAAACTCGTGCTTTGGCAGAAGCTAAGATGGCCAGAAGAGATAGACGTGAAGCCAGAGGCCCAGATGGTAGGCTTCACTCAACTTGATCATACTTTGAACTTCTCGTCCTGACTTTGATGGTTGGGTATCTTGCATATAGGACGGAAGGGTAAATCTAGAGTTCCCAATTTTTTACAGTCAGATAGTGAAATGGGTGAAGACGAAGATGCATTCCTAACAAGAAGAAGAAGAAGACGTCAATATGACGAGATTGCGGAAGTAGCAGAAGATGATCAAGATGGCGAAGAAGAAGATGAATTGCCTATTGAACAATTGAGCGATATCAAATCTAACTCTATGAAAGAATGGATTGAAGTACCTGCTGTGAAACGAACGATAATGAGAGCCTTTAAAGATTTCTTAATGACATATGTTGATGATAGTGGCACTAGTGTATATGGACAACGTATCAAAGCGTTAGGAGAAGGTTAATTTCCCTGACTGATCTCTTGTCCATGTTCTTTCTTCAGACAAATTATAGGTGTAACTGATATGACCATGTTCTTTTAACAGTCAATTCCGAATCCCTTGAAGTCTCCTTTTTACATCTCTCAGATTCAAAGGCAATCTTAGCTTGGTTTCTTGCAAATTGTCCAGCACCTATGCTTGCACACTTCGATGCAGTAGCACTCGATGCAATCTTACTTTACTATCCAGAATACGATCGTATCCATACAGAAGTCCATGTTCGAATCACCGAATTACCAACCTCATATACACTTCGAGAACTTAGACAAGAACATTTAGATAGATTAGTAAGAGTCACAGGTGTGGTGACTCGTAGAACAGGTGTTTTTCCTCAATTGAAATATGTTAAATTTGATTGTGGTAAATGTGGGGAAACTTTAGGACCATTTTATCAAGATGCAAATGTAGAAGTGAAGATAAGTTTTTGTTCGAATTGTGGAGGAAAAGGTCCATTTGCTATTAACTCTGAACAAACGGTTTATCGAAATTATCAAAAGATGACATTACAAGAATCACCTGGATCTGTACCTGCTGGTAGATTACCTAGACATCGAGAAGTGATTTTGTTATGGGATTTAATTGATTTGGCAAAACCTGGTGAAGAAGTTGAAGTCACAGGTGTTTATAGAAATAATTTTGATGTTTCATTAAACATTAAAAATGGATTTCCTGTCTTTTCTACCGTACTTGAAGCTAATCATATCAATCGTAAAGAAGATGTTTTTGCGTCAACTCGATTAACGGAAGAAGACGAAAAAGCGATTCGAGCATTGAGTCGAGATGATAGGATTGGCAAACGGATTATCAAATCAATCGCTCCATCAATTTATGGACATGAAGATATCAAAACTGCTTTAGCACTAAGTCTTTTTGGTGGCGTTTCGAAGAATATCGGAAACAAGTATCGTATAAGAGGAGATATTAATGTATTGATGTTAGGTGATCCAGGGACTGCGAAATCACAATTCTTAAATACGTAGAGAAAACTGCACATCGGGCTGTTTTTGCTACTGGTCAAGGTGCTAGTGCTGTAGGTTTAACGGCAAGTGTGAGGAAAGACCCAGTAACACGAGAATGGACACTTGAAGGAGGCGCATTGGTCTTGGCGGATAAAGGTACATGTCTCATTGATGAGTTTGATAAGATGAATGACCAAGATAGGTAAGCCCCTATTATAATCTTCGCGTCATCACTTCATCGTCTTTCAAAATGGAAGATTTACTTGGTAACTCTTCTTTAGAACTTCGATCCATGAAGCTATGGAACAACAAACTATCTCTATCTCCAAGGCTGGTATTGTCACCAGTCTTCAGGCTCGATGTTCGATTGTTGCAGCAGCCAATCCGATTGGTGGCCGATACAATTCACAGATACGTAAGTTGTCTAACTCTGAGCTACACCTATATCTCATATGTGATGCTGATATCAAACACAATAGCTTTTTCTCAAAACGTACAGCTTACAGAACCAATCTTATCGAGATTTGACATCATGTGCGTGGTACGAGACAATAGTGATCCGATTGTGGATGAACTATTGGCCAAGTTTGTGGTTGGAAGTCACTTGCGTAGTCATCCTGATTTCTCACCTGAAGTGGATGAGGTTAATGTTCAGACTTCTCTTGACCAAGACGTAAGTGCGAAATTTTATTAAAATTCCCTCAAGAAAATGATTGTTCGTCTCTAACATCTTCTTTTATCACCAGATCATTCCTCAAGATATGTTAAAGAAATATATTCAATATGCAAAAGAAAAAGTTAGACCGAAATTACATCAAATGGATCAAGATAAGATGGCTAAACTATTTGCCGAATTAAGAAGAGAATCTTTATCAACTGGATCATTTCCAATCACCATTCGACAATTAGAATCTATGATTCGAATGTCAGAAGCAAGTGCGAAGATGCATTTAAGAGAATATGTTAGATCAGATGATATAGATCGAGCCATTCAAGTGGCTATCCATAGTTTTGTTAATGGACAGAAGATGAGTGTTAAGAAACAATTAGAAAGAGGCTTTAGGAAATACTTGAGAATTAAAGAAGATAATGATGAATTGATTGGATTCTTATTAGGTCAAATCGTTAAGGAAAAATTAAGATATCAAATGAATAAATTAAGAGGATTAGTTGAGGCAGATGAAGTTGAACCACCTGAAACGATTGTAGTGAAAGTTTCAGAATTAGAAGAAAGAGTAGGTCTTGATATTTTCTTTGAAGTTTTGATTTTTTGACTGATTCTTTCTATTTGGTGTGTTAGGCTAAGGAAGTGGAAATTTATGATATCGGACCTTTCTTGAAGAGTCAGTTATTCAAAACTAATGGATATTCATATAAACAACAAGGAAATGAACCAGTGATTGTGAAAGACTTTGGAGCCCCTTAAGTCAAAATCGATTGAAGTTTTGATTCTCTGTGATCTTAGTATATTTGGGTAGTAAGCAAACAAGCTTTTCAAGTTTCATTTCATCGTTTATTAGTTTTCTTTTTTTTTGGTAGGAATTCATATTATTTGAAATGTTTTCATTTGTCAAATTCTCCTGTTTGAAGCTCATTTTAGAATGCTGCATGATGTGTTTTGTTTACATACATTCTTTTTTTGTGTTGATGTGTTCTTTTTGTTGATGTGTTCTTTTTGTTGATGTGTCTTTGGGTTAAGGAACAATGATCAAGTGGTGATGTATACCTTAGATTCAAAGCCTCATTTGGCACTTCTAGAGTGCTTAAGATCTAAAGAAGGAGCTAAGTTGAGAATCATACAGACTTAGTTGATTTGTCTGTTGTTATCCAACTTTTTTCCTGCTTTGATGGTTTGAGCTTCTGTCCACAGATCAAAAGGTATTACAAGAGAAATGCAGGAGAAATGTGGATATACATCTGGTGGATATGATTGGCTTATAGTAAGGGAAGGGTACATAGAAGGATCAGCTGTACCCCTTCAGATAGTGTTCTCCATTTGCTTACTTGCCTATCAAGCACTATGTATTCAACATTTTACCCTCTGTAAAGGCTTTCAAAACAGGATCCTCCTGAGTATAATGATTACCTCAAAGATTTGAAGTTTGACATGGTTTCTTATAAGTCACTATCAAAGATGTAAATGCTTGACTGGCTTTTATAATGGTCTTGAGGATGCTTATTGGGCTTTGAGAAGATGTTGAAGATGTTGTGGATGTGGATGTGGAAGAGCTCAATATCATGGGAAATGGTAGTTTTATTTTGGGATTGCATGGGGGGATTAGTGAAAAGTGATCAAGGTGATCAACCTGATCAACCACTGAAAACCTCTTAATTGCTCATAAACCAAACACTTCATGACCTCTTTTGTCATGAGTCATGTTTTTTTATAAAACTTGCTTTTCTACATTTAGAAAAGTGGTTACCCAGAATATACTTTCTGGAAATCTGGGCTATGTGAACGCAGCCTAAGGGCACATTCACTTAGGGCGCGTTCACTTAAGGAATTTCTGACCAGAAATCACATTCTGTAAAATTTTTAATGCAAAAATGAAACATACACCACCAAATAGACACTTTGAATTTTGCAGAATGTGATTTCTCCCTAAAAATTGCTCAAGTGACCGTGTCCTAAGTGTTGTTTTTAAAAAGTCATCATTGATGTGTATGGCTGAAGTATTTGCTTGTGAAATGAAGTGTATACAATATTACCCAGGACTACCAATAGTCAAGACCAGAAATTTGAAACAGCATGTCAAATCCAACAAGATGAACAACAACTTCAAGTAGCTTGACATGAAGCTTTTTTCAAGGTGTCCAGGAGTAAAAACAAACAGGTTGGCAATCAGATAATGATATAGGATTTTGGCAAGATTGAGAGGATTCATGGTGGATTCAAACAGGAGGGGTATAGAATTAGATGTCTGTAAGACTGGAAAGCTTACGTCCAAAGACCATCATTCATTTCCTACATCTTCCACCAACCTAGATACAATAAGAGATGAATCAAACCAAGATGTTGAAAATGTTTCTTGAAAGAAGGATTTCCAAGAAGGGGGCGTACCTGCTCGAGATCCACACGAATAACATCGCCATCGGCCATCTCAAGCTATTACAACAGATATCATCAGTAGGCTGGACTTGAATGATGAGAAAGGCAAGCTGATGAAGGTACTGCTCACATCCTCGGGGGTGTCCTGAGGGTGTTGTTCAAACTCATTATCAGGCCTTTTGAATGATACAGATGACATTTTTCAAGGATACTCACGTGTTCACGGACTCTGAAGATGAGATCGAAGATAGAAACAATTAAAATCGATAAATAAAATGAAAAAAGAAGTGCAATGAAAGCACTTTTTTCGTTTTGTTTTCTGACCTGAGATCATCATATCTGAAACCTAAACTGCCAATTCTCATCCTCACGTGTTTTGCGTACACATCCATAATCTTATCAAATCTACAGGTTTGCTTGACTTTCAGATAAATCACATTTGTACCAGGACCCATTATGGTGATATTTATATGCTAGTTCGAACAGTGAGCAGAAAAGCCAATTGGTTAGACTGATAAAAAATAGCTTTCAGGAGAAGAAAGAGAGACGATGAGATGGACCATTGTGCTTACACTGATTCGTGATTCAGATTCGCGTATTGCGCTTTCTAAAAATTCCATTTGCTATTCATAATGTATATGATGTCGGTCATCAGCAATCATGATTATTGTGATAGCACGAGAGTATATCATAAATGCTCACCGAGAGTCCTGCTTATAGCTTACAGCGAGGGAAAGTGAAGGTTTAATCTTGATGAGAACCAGGGGAAGTCTTGATTTATAGAAATTATAATCTATAGATAGGATGTATCACCAGTCTAAATTCAAAGCGAGGTGGATGGGCAAAAGATGCACAACTTTATCAAGTTTGGAAATTTTCCTGTCTAGGTTTCACTACGGAAGCCGCGACGTGAAGTGACCGGGGAGCATCGGGATTTTGTATGTTCTGTGATAATTATCACATGATAATTATCACGGGAAATACATGCAGACATTTTACGGCGCGTGACACCCTCATTACAGCCCTGGATCTAGTCAGCTGTACGGGGGGGTGCTGCGCGCGGGGCCATGGCACCGACAACGCTACCTCTCCCAACCCATAGCGTCGCGTCGCCACGTCCATCCAAAACATGTGTTGTCTTTGGAAATTTTTACCACTTTCTGCTTTCTCCAGACCCTTTTTTTTCCCATGGCTGAGCAAAATTTTGATCACCCAAGACCCTTTTTGTACACTGCCTTACGATTGATCAATATCAATCAATCAATCGTCACCCATGGCGTCTGTTCCTTTTCACCTTCTTTTCAATCCGACCATCTGGCCACCGAGATCACCTCACTTTGTTTCCATTTTGCGACCTGCTAGCCGACGTCATGAAGCCTCGCAGCCCCTACATCGGATCGAAGTACCAGCGGATACACCCATCCCACCCCCTTCCTTCACCTGCTCTTCCTGGCCATGTTGGCCTGGCTTGTCCCATGTGCACGGTCAACATTTCACTGATCTACATACCAGGCGGTGTGGATACGGTCAAGGTCAAAGTCAGTGTTCCTCCTTCTTCCAATCGGACCTATCCACTGGCAAAACTAACCGTGTTCACTTCTTTTTAATACCAACTTCGTTTCGATCACCCGTGGTTCCTATCGACCAGTGCCCAAACAGTGAGCATTATTACCGAACCTTCAAGCTGAACCAACTGAACTACGAGCTCGCGCGGATCAACGCCGGCGAAAAGTATCCAATCCCTTACAACGCATCACTTCATGGGCCACCCCTCAACATCAAAGGCGAGTTCGTCGCCGAGCAAGTCAGTCCAAAGAGTGCTTCGCAACGTGCGCAACGCGCCGCCCCGTCACAACTGTGTGCTCGTCCCCGCGATGGTCCCACCGCCGAGAAGCACAAAAGTGCGGGTCATACTGGATGTACGCAAAAGTACTGTAAGGCGGTAAGTGATTTCGTTTCCTCCTTCATGTGTCTTGCTCATCAAATGGTGGACTTGGACCATTTGGGAACCTAGTGCTGCCATGCATATGGCACGCCTGGCACATGCTATGTTCATCGCATGAAGCCTGAGGGATCCCAGGATGCCACCCCAGCGCCATCCCATCCCTCGACCACCAGCCATGCTCCTTGGTCGACAGTACCCCAGCCCAAACGAGCCCGTATAATCCCGGAGCAGTGCGCGCAGAGTGTGGGCCGAACCGGACACGTGCTGAACAAAGATGGCGAGCGGGTCCTCTCAAACGCCAGGAAATGGAAAGAAGACATGGTTAGAAAGGCGTCCGAGCCTCGTCTTGACCCGAGCAAGGTTGTCAGCTTACATCTCGTCACTCAGGTTGGTGTTGTTTCTTCATATACTGTTACATCCAACCTGACAGCATCCTCTATATTTGTAGCCCACAACCCCGGTCATTACGCACCATTTTCCGACCTGGCCTCTCGTTGCGCTAGACGAATGCGAGTCCCTTGTGCGTGAGGCGAAAGCGGCTGCTGATCTCTCTTGGAACGGCCATATCCTTGTCTGGGATGACCAACTTAAAAACTGGGTGAGTCTTTTTGTGTATCTCTTCACGCAGACTTCAATTTGATCCTTTTTTGGAATGCTCGCAGCGGGACATTGCACTCACTCTGCCGCATCAGTACACCCGCACAGCCAAAAATCTCGTTCTTTGTCTTCCAAGCCAGCGCCACGACCTAGCCAAAGAAGTTCAAGACGTTCTTGAAAGCTTTGGCCTTGGGAAACCTTCTATTCCCAAAGCTCCCGTTCAGGAGACGAAGGTTCCCAAAACTGAACCTTGGTCTCCGCCCCGATCGGCCACCCACGTTGCAGGATCATCCCTTGGACCAATTGAGATCCTCGATTCAGATTTGCCTTTGGATACGGACAACGCGCCAGAGCTAGACACAACTCCATCAAAGCGCCCTTTCATCACACCGTCAGGCGACGCCAGCTCAGACAATGTGACTCCCGACTCGTTTCGGCACTTGGACCCCGCTTTAACCGGGAACCTGTCAGCCCAGGTGCGTCCATTTGTTCTTCTCCATCAACCAATGCCACCTCTCATCATATCATGAAGGCTGTCTCACTTTCTTATATCCTTGTCCAGGACCTAGCAGCCGACCAGAAGTCCTTCAACTCCAGCAGTACCGAAGCCCCGGTCCTGAAAGTGTGGCCCGGAGAGGACGCCATGACGTTCACACTACTCGCATGGCATCATGCGGTCGGAATGCCTGCAATCCGTGCGCGTCGTATACCTTACTGGATCAATTTTTTTGGAACCGAGTACGAATTGGAGGAACAAACGGCTTATCGCTACGCGCACTTTGTAGACAAAGTCACTTATCCAAGGTTCAAGGCTTGGCTTGACAGCTGGCCTGAAGAGGGTGAGAAAAATCGCTACAATATCACAGTCAGTGAGGCGCGGCGGAATTTTCAAGCTGAGTTCAACGCAGTGACTGGTTTGAAACAACCTGATGATCCAAGCGCCCTTCGGAAACGCAAAGAGCGAAAGGCCCCTTGGCCATCGAAGAAACGCAGAACGAAGCAATGATGGACTGTAGCCTCCACCTCCACTTAACATAGATTCTGTTTTCCTATTCACATTATACATTTTGCGTTCTTACCTTTCATAACTACTGTGGAATGAAGACTTTGTGGTTGGGTTGTGTTTGGGTTTGCGTGGGGTCGGTTGGGTTTGGCTTGGGGAAAAACAAATGGGTTATTTGATGTTATGGTCCATGTTCTTTATCTTCTTTGAAACAAAGAAGATAATTTTTGTTTTTCTTTGTTTCTTTCTTTAGCTCAATTTGGTCTATATACAAAGAAACAATGATGATCAAATAGTTAAGGGGTTTGATACCAATTGATCATCATTACACAAAAACCAAAAAAGGAACTTTTTTTCCTCATTCATTTTTGACAATATATTTCTTGTAGTGTATGGTTTTTCTGTTGGTTTTTCTGATCTTTGTGATTTTTTTTGGGTTTGGGTTGGGTGAGTTTTTCAGTTGTTTTGGTAGCCACTTTATCCATTGAGATTGCATTGCAGTATTTTTGTTTGAAAAGTGAGTACAGTTTAAAACAACAGAGTCACAGTTGATAGATGTGAAGTGTTTGATTGAAACTGGTGAGGATCATGTTGCCCATGTGTATTGGTTTGGTGGTAGTGATGATTGGATGATATGAACATTTTGACTGATGAACATTCACTCATAGTGTACCATAGGCAATCAAATATAAGTCATACCAATTTGGAAGGGCTGGGTGTGGTGTACAGAAGATTGGATGATTTGGATGATTGCAGCTCACATCAAATAAAAAGATGTGAGATTCTTTAATTCTTGGGCAATTCAAAGTCTTTGGGTGTGTCACTTGGTCACTAAGGCTCAGTCTAGAGTATTTGAACCCCCAGGTGCGTCCCATTCACACATGAGACATCCATTGTGGCTGTTACTACTCCTTGCGTCTGTTTTTCTTTGCCAGCCCACTTGACACACTTTAAATGACTTGAAAAGAACAGCGGATATATATCATGATCATGATATATCTCCGCTTACTGTGTTTATTATAAGGGACTGCAAATAAAGACGGTTGGTTTGTTGATGCCTTTTGATTCATTAGCAATTGTTGACGTCAGACCCTTCACAATCTCATTGTCCAGTATGGAAAACATGACACTTACTGGGTCTGGACAATCACACTTGATACGAGAACCAAGACCCTGTACTACAAAAGTTGTAGTACAATTACCAAGTAATGTAACTTTACATTCCCAAAAGTTTTTGAGGCATCAAGTTTGTGTACCTCTCACAGGAAACCACACTATCACTCCTTACTTAACTTTACAATATAAATTGTAGAACTATGCTCTTCTTCTTCTATAATTTTATTTGTAGACATATGTGTGTGTTGTCTAATAAATCTTGTGTGTTTATCCTTTCAAATGTTTGTATTAGGCATTGCCACGGCACGGTCTGATTGTTGAAACTCTTTGGACCAACTTTTTTCCTCCCTTGAGGGTATTTCTTTTAGCGTGGTGGCCTTTATTTAAACACAAACATTCAACTTAATTCAAAGAAAGGCCTGTTGTTTTTTTGGGGGGCACCCTGCCTGTAAACATACATGAATTGTGGTTGCTTGTCACATGACCATTTGTGACTTTGTTATGGCACACTGTCTTTAAACAAACATGAATTGTGGTGACTTGAACAATAACCCATTCTATGGCACGCGCCCTTTAAAGGAACATTTCTTTGATGTCATTGGGTCATTGTTATGGCACACTGTGTTGCAAGTGACCACAATGGGAGTTACTTGAACAATAATTGATTGTTCATTGTGATGGCACAGTGCCTTTAACAATGAACAGCCATTTGAGTTTGGTGAAAGCCAAAAACCAAGCTTGGTTTTTGCACACTGCCATGGGCATACTCACAGCAATTTAAAGTCACAAAGATAACCAATGTTTCATTGTGACGGCAGACATACTGTCGGTAAACAAAGAAAAATTGTAGTTGATTGAACAAATCACAATTGGCACTTTGTAATTACAAACTGCTTTGGAAACAACCAGAATGCTTGTGAGATTGATAGCAACTTTTGGGAGCAGCAAGTTATTTGATTGTGACGTTGGAAGGGCAAATGAGTCAGCTGCATTGCTCTGGTATTTCTATCTGTTAAATACGTGCCATTTGAATTGTCCAACCTTGCTAATAAGTCTTTTCCCGTTCAAGAATCGGGAAAAGAGAGTGTCCACTTACTTTTGAGTAAAAGCTTATGAAACTATATTTCTTGGACATAACACAATGGCAAGCAGTCCATGTAGAAACCAAAAACCTAGTTCCATTACTCACTCAATCAAACACAAATCATGAGCTTACAAGACAAACACTGAGATTGGCTGAAAACAATCTCAGTGTGTCAGAAGACTTAGGTGGTAGCCTTTTGATACGGCCACCAAAGCACTGAACATGCCCCAAACCATGCTTTGGTGATACACAAAGCATGGTTTGTACCAATGAAAAGCACCGATGGGTTACGACAATGACAGCAATCAAACACAGTGGAGAGGCTACCCAAAAGCATCTCTTTTGCATCATGCATGCAATTGACCTTGTGTATAATTATTCCCTCTGAGGTCAGAGACAGTTATCCACCAGAACCAAGGTCTTTGTGCTGTGACGCTGCACACTTTGGTCATACCATTTTTTTTTCATTGATTTCAAACGAGTGTGGTGCACTAAGCAGAGAGAGTCACAAAAAGCGCCAAAAACACACAACTTTTAAGAGAAAAGGAACAATAAAGGAGTGAGGAGAAACCAGAAGCAGAAAGCGCTTCCAAATGAAACACATACAAACAGGCACACAAATCAAAGACAAAGTCATCAAAGAAAAAGCAAACAAAAATAACTGCTGAACTACAACTAGGATCTTGCCGGTTGTTTCATTCCAACGCGCCTACACAGGCTGTTGCAACGGTGATCACTTTCAAAATCGGAAATTCTGCCAGAGAAGTAACCAGCATGCCAATTGTACCTATAGTAGTATGGTAGGAGTGATGTAAGATGAGCAAACACATAACATGTTACAAACAGTGAAGGAAGATTCTGGCTCACGTCTTATCGACAATGAGAGAATGAAACAGTGTCCATCCAACGTAATGAAATCCGTTGATCACCGCTGCCTTATTTGTACGCCAGTACGTGTAGTGCGTGAAGGCATTGAGGAATTCTAGCATGGCGACATTGCCTTCGGGGGGGGAATAACTAGTGTCCGACGTCTTATGGACCTTACCTCGCAACCTCTCCTGCAAAGTATACATGTCATGCATTCCGAAGTTGTTCCGGTGTGCAAGGACATGGTTTTCGGCAAACTGTGAAATCAAAGAAGTAACGTACTCGCGCAGGGGGACAATTCACTCACTCGAACATCGGTGGCCAGCTGTGCTTCGGCCACAGTTAAAAGCAAAGGGATTTCTTTGAGCTTCCCTTGGAACAGACTTAATAGCATAGTTGTGTGATACTTTTCTTGACACAACATGAAATGTGATCTCTCCGAGTCCGAACCAAACGCTTGGACTTCGACTTCCAAAGAACCCAAGTCATTTATTCCCCAAGGACGATGCATTTCAGCGGGGAAGGTGGAAGCCCAATCCCAATACCTGATAGGCTTGGCCAGATTGATGTCAATGTACGTTTGGGTCGACCTAAACGAAAACTCAGCAGTTTGGCCAACAGTCGCGGTTTGGAGAGTGAAAATCCATGAGGTGTGAAGGTCAATTGCAGGTGTTGGCAACACCAATTCTCCCAAAACCTCGCGTGCAGTTGCAGCGTCTATTGGGGGGGCCACAAAATTGCCTAATGGATATCTAACACATTAGTGCGCATACCTTTAGTTTCAATGGCAGGGCGTATTACGTACAGTTGTCTACAATCGGAACCGGTAAAATGGTTGTTGGTCCAGCGCTGAGAATGCCACCTAAGTGCGCCCCAAACATGTGAGTATAAGTCTATAATTGCATGACAGCCACAGTTATACGTGACTCAACGTCGGAACCGCCTGGTATTGCGCGGGGAAAGCTGTTCCATCAGGTGTGGGAAGTCGGCATAGTCGTCGTCTTGGGTCAAGGTGTGCATGATGATTGAAGGCGACAGTAAAGGGCGGCGAGATAGTAAGTGCGAGATTGTGAAGTCAAATCTCTGGTAGGTCTATCAGCATCGTCCCATTTATACTCAACATGAATGGGACAGACCAACCATTTATTCAGCGAAACCTGGTCGGGAGCGTGGCAACAGCTTGGCAAAATCAAACGCATGGGTATGACCATCGGCGAACAACGTCAGGTACTTTTTACCGAGGCATTGCCTGTTGCACCCCGCGGTTAGTTCAAGTTGGTGCAACAGGCAAGGCAGCCATTTTCGATAATGATTTATACATTATCGAAACTGGTTGCTTCATCTATGCCATGTGCATAGAAGTCTCTATGCATTTGCCTACCGATCAAAGTTTCTAACGGGTATCGGCACTGAAAGCTCAATGAAAGCCGAACATTATCCATTCAGTAAGTAACGTTCAAATGAATTCATACCGTGAGAGAATTGATCAGAATCAGAATTGACCGATTGATTTTGGAGGATAATGGGACTGGTGAGCTTGGAAGTCAGATGATCACCCAAATCGATGTGGGTATTGATGTGGGTGATTAATTGATAAGATCGAAAGGAAACTCGATTGAGGTTGAGGAGAAGAGGTATCATTAGAGAAGTGATCAATGAGTTTTGAAACAATAAGAAAAAAGGTCTGATAAGTTGAAATAGGAAAATCTTGTCCATACTGGTCTACGTTAATAGATTTCCAACTCGGTAACTGTCCCAGCAGATTAGCAAGCACAAATCCCTCTCTATAAATAAACCTACCAATCATAATCCTCACTCTTGATCCTATTCAAATCTTCACTTTTTTTTGTGTATTTGAATTCAAATGAAATTCAGATAATACGATTTCATTTTGAAAGAGGAACCCATGAAGCCCATTGGGATCCAAAGAGCTGTGGAACAATCAGGTGCTAGATGAAGTGGGTGTCACTATCATGATTATATCATGTTAACGTGGTCACCATGAGTGATGAAAGCAGGTTGGAGTGAGATTATACTTCCTCCCATTTACGCGTGATTGAGCCATAAGGCATTGCATTTCTTTGAAAAACTACAACTTTTGTACCCCAATGTATTCCACTGATTCACAAGTACCTAGAGCAGCACTGAACCAATCGTTGCGTAATTCAACCATCTCTTCAAGGAAAAACTCATACCTGGTTCCTTGCATGTTGCGGCACATGGAAGCAAAACCACTGTACCAAATATTACTTAACTCTCCAGCTGAAGAGTTAAATATCCAGGAGCCGTCTTTTTGCAGGTCGGGAAAATTTTTGGGGTTTGTGTATCTTTGACAAAAATGATCGCTGACTTTGTGCGAGGCATGATGGAACGGGTCGACCGGAATAATGGTGTTTTCAAACGGAGTCGGATCCTTCTCCCCGTTGTGAATAACCCGCAGTAGGGTGCACGCATTGTCGTAGAAGACCACTTCCGGTAGGCCTTCTGGAAAAGCCTCCAATAGGTAGTCCTGTCATTTTGTTCGCGGGGGGTAAACACACATCAGTAAATAGAGAGGATGCTTAGGGAAAAAGGTTCTTGCTAACTGACCCTAAGAGCACTTGGGGCTTCGGCGTTGTAAAATGTTCGCCGACTGAGGATGATTCCACACGTACCCACGATCAGCTGATCGTTGTGAGTACGGCAGCGGCTACAGGACGGGGTTTTTTTTGGCTTGGCGGCGCCACCGTCCCGGGCGGCTTCGTGAAGGCAATCAGCTTCGTCGGTGTTGTGAATTTCGTCTAAGTCGATGATTTCCGCAGTGAAAGGGTTTAAGTGCACAGTCGGATCCGAAGGGAGATTGGAGCCGGGACGGTTGAGCATTGCCTTGAGGGCAAAGTTCTTCTTCTTTTGCGCTTGAAAATCGGCAAAGGCGTTACGGTGATCTTCATTGGAACATGTTTGGGAATCTGCTTCCGCGAGGTTGGTGCACGGTTGTGCCCAACACCATCCTTTCAAAGAGACCTCATGTGCGGCACAGAACCGAGAGGTAACCTTGGGCAAAGGATTTAGGCATGGGCCATTTGGGGGGGGATTGCCAGATCGATAGGCAAGCTCTTCAAGCTGCACCAAAGAGGCCGTGCATTGCCAGTGCCCGATTGTAAGGCCATTGGTGACGACCGCTCGAATGACTAATGTGATGCACGAAGTCAGTTGAATGATTTCAAAGCGTTCTTTTTAGATTAAGTGAGATGAGCGAAACCTTTGGTCGCTTGCTTGCCGTCTATTTCAATTGGGTATGCTTTGACACACAAAGAGCAAAAGTGGTCGCGGAATACTGACCCGTGGTCGGCAATGTAGTGGAGTTCTTGAATAATCGCTGATAGTAACCGGTCCTCCTGTTCACCACGGGCACTTACTTGAAGGACGTCACCCCGGCGAGAGTACCGTCGGAGTAGGCTCCACATATCAGTTGCGTCGCGGGTAACTTCTTGGGACATTCGGGGTGTAATTGTCGGGAGTGCCGAGTGGGTGGGTATGTCCTGGTTTGATACATAGGTGAGGTTGAATAGATTCACAAGATTGAAAGTGGAGATACTATGAAAAGTAAAAGCAATCGATAAGAAGTTCTTCCAAAAAGACATAATGGGAGATACTGACTGGGCAAGCATCTGACAGTGTCGAAAGTTCTTGGCGAGTTGGTGAGACATGGCAAAGTGGCAGTGCACCTGGAACACATCACGGTGTCTCCCCTGGGCTTCGGTGTAGTAATATCTGGTTTTGTTGGTTATGTAATACGAGGGGCGGTAGGTGGTGCTACAATCTACATGCAGGAGTTAATGGGAAAATGAGTGTGTTTATATACACGGCTTTGCTTTTAGGTGAAGGCAAACACTGTACCTGAGCAAACGCGGGTGTGAAACTCCGCTGAGTGGATGCCATCCAGATCATACACGTAGCCTTCTCGTCGGGGGCGTAAGTGGAGGTTGCGCTTGGAAGGGCTGTCGCACACAAGGCAGGAAGAGATGGGTGGTGTAAGATAGAACTCGTGCACCTTGGTGGTCAGGTGGTGGGTAAGACCTTGCGAGCGAATACGGGCGCCAGTATCAATCCAAGAGAATGGTAGGGAAGGGAATGACAGGTTCCAAAGTGCTTCGTAATCGGCCAAGTCCATGTCGAGGTCGAGGGCGAGCTTGAGGAATGGAAGTATGCGAGTATCATCCAAAGTAAAATTTAACGCGCGGTCTGCTCGCTTGTACACGTCGCTTGCGAGGTTGACGAATTGGACAAGTTGTGAAAGTGTCAGCTTAGTTGCCAAAGTTGGGGATTGGTCGTGCAGCCGTGTCACCAAGTCGGTGAGCAACATTGTGAAAGACAGGTAGTTGACTACACAATCGGCTGGAAGGATTCAATCATCTCATTCTGATGTCAGCATACTCTGTCGGATCCGGAGGTGAGTGAGGTACTGACTCGGAGCTAATGTTGCTGATCTCGTATGTAGTATTGGTGATGGTATGGTATCAATAAGGTGGTGTGGGTGGGGTGAAGGGATGTTCGTTATGGTTGAGGTGGATTTGGTCTTGTTGTTGAATGTAAAGGAGGATTGATTGGGTGATGTAATAGCCGAATGCATCCTAGCTGCAGGGGGGCACGGGGTATGTATAATCGCGTCGCGATGCGTGGGCCAGGGGTGAGGCTGTTGGTGTAGACCCATGAAAGTGGGACAACCTCAGATCACGAGGTCCGCAGGCGAGAGTGACCGGTCTGCTTGTGGGTGAGATGTATTGCTACTTACAAGCATTGGCCCCGGGGCTGCCTATGCTAATGAGCCGTTTTATCAGGCGACCTCTGATACAGTCAAACCCGCGCACATGCATACCCGCGCACATGCATAACCAGCCAAAATGCATAAGTTTTGGCTTCCACCCAGCTGGTGCGGGCAATTTTTTTTGTTAATTACATAATTATGGCAAAAACCATAATGCATAGGTTTTTTTAGATCCCCAAGGTCATAATGCATACATGGAAAGTGGGCTGGGAAGAAAATTTTCTTCCTGCAAGCCTTCTTTGATACAATTTTAGCGATGTCAGACAGCAATGAGCCCTCTCTGGGTGTTGAACCCCTTCAATTCAACACAGAGAATCCTATTCATGCCACTCGCATTGGCAACATAATATTTCTTGCACCATCCGACCTCAAGCCCTCTCAATTCCCATCACATTTACAATTTGAAGAGCATGATTTACATCTACTCGAGAAAGGGCTCAAAGACCTCAAAGAAGAAACTCAAACACGTCTTGATGAACTTAAATCAAATCAAAAGAACGGACAAACTCTCTCTCAGGAAGAACAAGACTGGTTTGATGATGGGGGAAACTTGATTAATGAACACCTTATAGTAGATATACTTTTATGTCTAGATGAATTCAAGCCCTTATCACTTGGGTGTCATGAGTTCAAAGCAATACAATCTATCATCTCGTGTTATCAATCAACTCTTTCCAATGACTCAAAAATTAAGATGGATAGAAAGAAAGAAGCTAAACGAACGACATCTAACAATCTCGATTCTCTCGATCACGGACGTGGAAAGAAGGCTCGTTCCTGCTTATCAAAACCAGTCCAATCAAACAGAACTCGCCGTAAATCTGGGGTCACCAAACAAACTCTGACTTATAACCAACGTGTTGAGGTCCTTAATTGGTACCACAAAAATGGTGAAAGTCAAACAGGGACTGTCCGACACTTCTCTAAAATATATCCGGACTTGGGAATCAGTCAACCTAATATCAGTCGATGGATCAAAGAAGAAGCATCAATTCGAGACACTGCTGGTACTGTTAGTAGCCAAACTAAGCGCAAATCTGAGCTCAAATATCCACAAATTGAAACACTTCTGGTTAATTACATACGTGAATGTGAAAAGAGTGGTCAATTTATTACCGGCGATCAAATCAAAGAGAAATGGAACCACTTTGCTCGACTCGAAAAGCTCCCAAGCAAGGACTGGCTGAACTTGAGTGGTGGATGGCTTGACGCATTCAAATCACGTCACAACCTTCGTGAGATCAAAAAACATGGTGAAGCCGCATCAGCCAGTCCTGAGGTAGTGGCAGCTGAGAGGGCTCGAATGTGTAAGATCACTGCCGAGTACAAACAGTGTGATGTCTATAACATGGATGAAACAGGTTTGTTTTACGCGTAAGTCTTATTTCCATCGTTCTCCTGCTTCTTTCTCCTGCACCTCTTGTTTCTGACTGTTTCTTTGTGTGTTTCAGGATGCCCCCTGATCGAGGTTTAGCCAGTCAGAGTTCGCCAGGTGTCAAAGGATCCAAAGCACGTATAACTGTTGTCTGTACTACCAATGCCGATGGATCAGACAATCGTTTTCTGACATTTATCAGTCGATGGAAATCCCCACGCTGCTTCAATAAAAAGACACCATCCGAGCTTGGAATAGATTACTACAACAACACAACCTCTTGGATGACTTCAACAATCTTTGAGTTGTGGATCTCAAAGTGGGATCGAGACTTACGAGCCAAAGGGAGGAAGATCTTACTCTTACTTGACAATTTTGCTGGTCATACTGTGCCGCCAAATCTCCTCACCAACATTAAGCTCGAGTTCTTTCGACCAAATCTCACAGCTCACGTTCAGCCACTCGATGCTGGCATTATCCACGCATTCAAATGCCATTATCGCAAACGATTCCTCACACGTACTCTCCGACGCCTTGACAACAATGAGACTGTAAATAAAGTGTATGAAATTGATGTTCTTGCTGCTTGTCGTTTGGCCAAGTTAGCTTGGCATTCCGTCACCGGAAAGACCATTCAGCACTGCTGGGGCCACTCGGGAATCATTGCATTCAAGGATAGCAACATGCAAGTCCCTCTCTATTCTCTCTAGCTTGCTTTTCCTGTTTTTGAAGTTTACAGTTTTCTTATACTTTTCCCTCTTTATCTTACTTGTAGGCTTCCTGCCTTCAATCCAGCCAACCTACCCATTACAGAGGACTTAGATCTTGAAGACGATTTGCAACGCCTTCAAGATTCGGGCTTGCTCTCATCCAGGAATCGAATGTCGATATCCGAGCTTTTGAACCCCGAAGATGAAACACCATCATTTTCAAACTTACCAACTGCTGAGGAGATTCACGGACAGGCTCATGTCTCCCAAGACGACTCTGAAGATAACACGATCGAAAGCGAACCGATTCCTACCACTGCCGAGGCAATAAAATACCTCAACGGTCTTGTCGCTCACATCGAAGGAACTGCGACTCCTCTCGGTCTCAAACTTGATCAGCTCTTGCAACAATACAGTCGCCAGCTGAAGTCCGACGAGTTTTTTTCTTTCAATAAACAGCCATCGATCATAGATTTTTTCAAAAAACTCCCTAATCCCGACTCGGAGATGACATTTGAGTCTTAACTGAACTCTGTCCCTTATACTACAATCAATTTCCCTTCTATATACAATTATAAGATACAGTGTTGTCTTTCCTTTACTCAGACAAAAGAAGTCTTGTGTTTTGTACCCGTGCAAAATGAAAACATACTATCACATAGAGTTATACTTTTTGAATGAAAACCCGCCACAATGCATATCTTTATGCATTTAGGCCTAAATACATAGAATTATGCATTATGGAGGTTTGGGCCCATTTGTATAACCCGCGATAATGCATACCAAAAATCGTCTCCCCAAATTATGCATTAGCGCGGGTTTGACTGTAGTTATCACAGAAAAGTCGAAATCCGGATCTACCCAGTGACCGCCAGCTGTTTTCAAATTTCAAATTTCAGATTTCGGATTTCGGATTTCGAAATTTCAACATTTTTGATTTCATGAGTGCAAGCCCCTGCATAATACTAAACATAGCTCAAGATGCTGTTGTACATGCGATTTAAAAGTTGACCCCTTGCCCTGGGTGTTATTGAGCAGTCTTTGGAGTCTGTGAAGTCCTGAAAAAGGGATGTTTCTGTCCTCCGATCTCAACCAATTCATCAGTGTAATAACTTCAAAAATCTTACCACTAATTACCACTAACTATCAGTCCGTGATGGATAATCATTCAGAGTGCAGAGGCTGTGGAAACCTTTTCTCAAGAATGACCACACCCTTGTGTGGTCGATGCCAGTGGAGGCAAAACAATCCCAAATCCGGACGATGTGAAACACCCCAGTGCACCAGTTGTGGGAAGTGCTATGTCTTTCTTGACGAGTCCGAATGCCCATCATGCAAGAAGAGCAACAACAACAGCGGTCTCTCAGCACTTCTTCCACCTCTCAATCCACCTTCATCGGCCTTGGCAACTGCTCCTTTGGGTCCAAACATCAACACACCTTCAATCGCGTCTAGTCTTCCACAGGAGCTATTTCAGGGTGTTTTGAGTCAGCCAAGTCACCCGTCAACCTCTTTTATCAATCGCTCTCGACTCGATGTCCCCTATGGTTCTCAAATTTTAAATTCACAACTGCAAGGATCCATTCGGGCTTCTCAGTCCGGGAGACGAACTGTTGGAAAGCCAAAGGGGAGGAAAACGAAGCAAATAGAGGAATGTACAGAGGAAGATAGCCAAGAGATTGAAATTCCAATGAGTTTTTTGTACCTCAGTGGAATCGGCAAGTCAACTATTGTACATCCACTGACACCCCGTAAATTCAAAGTCAAGTTGAACGATTCGGATTGGTTCTGGAGTCTAGGTTGGGAAGTATATGCCTACTATCTGAAAGAAGCCGAGGATTCAGCATGGCCATCTGAGCAGCTTCAGAGAGCTAAGAAGATCCATCCTCTTCCCCCCGACTTTTCAACTACGTACTGTATCATCGCAGAAAATGGGATCTCGGTTTCAAAAGAGTCAATGGAATCAACAATTCGAAAGAGCAAAAAGCTTGATAATAAGAAGTTTGGCTTAATCTTCAACATGCAGAAATACCTCGCCACTCTTAAGGAAGCTTCTCCCGAGCCTGAGAACCTGAAGCCTACGTCTCGAAAACGCAAGCAAAAGTGTATTGTAAAAGTGGATGAAGATGATTCAACAGACGAACTAGACGAACTGGAAGATGATTTTGAGCAATCTTCTTCTCGCACTCAAAAGCGCAAGCAAACCTATTTATCATCTGAATCCGATGAAATAGGCGAAATCCATTCTGATACTGATGGTATCCTAAATCATCCGGCCGGTTCTCAACCCTCCAAAGGTACCCAACCAATCCTTAAGTTATGCGTCAATGCACCTGATTCATTCCCTGGCAATGAATCAAAACAAATGGCAGAAAGTTCACACGGTCATGATGATTACCAAGACACTCAGAAACTTGTAAGTTTGTTTCTTCACAAGTCACTTCTTACGACCGATAGGTTAATTGACTCTTTTGATATGACATGTTTGATTAAACAAAGTCCACCACCCACAAGGACAGTTTCTCGGTATCTGTACAAACTGATCAAACACTACCAATACATGATGTCTTGTTAGGGCAGTTGGAGCATGATGAATGTCAGTATTTTATCTTTTGACTCTGTCGGACCAATGTGTGTAATGGTGCTAATATCAACTAACTTCTCTTGTGTTTGATATCTAGCTATGTCCCTCGAAAGCTTTGGTAATACACATCAACTCGCTCCCTCTGCAAGGCCGATCCTTCCATACCCCCCTCGCCCGATTGAATTGGAACGAAGGGTGGCTACTTTCGCTCATCACTAAAAACGAAGAAGCCGTTTTCAAACCGACCCCAATCTCCTTCCGTGTTGATCGTGATTCATTAATCGGTTCGGGTCGCAATATGCAGTGCTTCAAAGCTGAATTGATGCTTGACAATCAGGTACATCGTGTGGTGGCCAAACAGAGCCCAAGTCTTGACTGTCCTTTGGCGTACTATCAGTGTCAAGCTCAGACATATGTCCACGTAGAGGGTGTTATCAACAAGTTCAAAAGGGATGTCTTGAGTAACAAAAGGTTTACTCAACTTCAAAAAGACCTGGTCGAGGGTTTGAGAGTATGTTTTCCTTCGGCTTTGAGCTTGTCGAGGTTTTAGCTGATACACCTGTACTCTGTACGTTTATCTTCCAACTATTTCAGATTGTGAAGGGCTGGGTTGTTCAAATTGTCGGTACTGAAGAAACACACCTCATGCCGAAGAACGACAGTTCAAATCTCTGGTTTTTTGAGGAGGAGCTTGTAGGTGATTATGTGAAATACGTCGGCAATGCGAATTTCACCATCGAACTACCAGGAGATCAGCTTCATGAAATGCTCCATGCATTAACCCACTACGACTTGGATAAGAACGCTGGTCGCTCTTTCATATGCGACTTACAGGGAGTCGGCTCCAACCTGACAGACCCAGCTGTCATCGATCTCGAGTGAGTCCAGCACCTCATCAAATCTTTAGATTATCTTTTTAATGATTCTTCTTTCATTGTAGTAAAACCTTTTCAAGCGGAAACCTCAACTATGAAGGACTGGAGTTGCTCATTGATCAGCACGAGGAAAACCCTTGGTGCAGAAACCTGGGCCTCAAATGTGTCGAGACTTGGACATCTCAGCTCAAGAACTAGATCTGAAATACACGGAATGAACCCCATCACTCGTCACTTTTAATCGAAACCGATCGGTCTAAGAATCGATCGATCGATTTCGATTCAACTCTCAATCAAACCACATCTCATGATCAATCATTACCCGGTAGTCTATGTATACATATCAAACTGTTCCCCGTCAATTTTCGACAGATCGATTTAAAACTGGATCGATTCAAAACTGGATGTTGGAAACTACAGAAGCGTACACATGAGACGAGATGCTTCAAATCACCTCAAACCATCAATAGTCGAGTTTTTGTATTAGAATCTGTTCATGGTTTTCAAACGATTGATTTGAGTCGAGATCGTCAAAGAACATTACCCGAAGAGCAATTGAGCTACACAATATAATTTACTGCACATTACTCCATTCATCTCCCAGTACATATCAAGATAATCAATTATGTAGCTCGCTCGCTTTGACCTCAACACCAATTCCCTACTAATCCCCCTGTTTCTTCCCTTTGAATCAATCCTGCTCTAAAATCTTGAAATTGTGAAGAGGATAATCTGAAAATGTCACTTACCTGGTTATTGTTTGGTCTACACAATATATGATTTTACAATCATCAGCCTTTTTTAGTATGTTCAATTGTTCTGAAATCTCAAATTGAAATCTCAAATAGTCAACGCTTTGAGTGGAGTGGAGAGGTGGTTGATTGAAGAATATGGAAACATCCCACATGTGGTGAAAACCAGATTCACATCTAGACAAATTGTTTCAACTATTTGTTGAAGAGTAAATTGGGAAATAAACATGTGTACTTTTGTTTCCACAATAATCTAAATGAGAATGAATTTAACTGCTCCTTGATTTACATTTGGTGAAGAAGAAACAATTAACCTGATTCTTCTGAATCTTCATCTTCATAAAACCCCTCTAAATCTAGATGTGGTTCAATCAGTCTCAACAAGGGTAAAACCTGATGAAAAACTATCCATACATTGTTGAGTATAATTTGGTTTTCTTGAATACCTAACCGTTGAATCAAAGTGGAAATTTCTAGGGACAGGTGTGGAGGTGAGACTTGCAAAAGAGCCCCATGGTCCGGGTATTGATCATTGATTATTTGCTGTATGGCCTCGCGGGGTACAGGATGAAGTCCTTGGGTACCATCATAATTCTCAGGGGAGTAGAAACACGTGTTGGGTGCCACTCCAGTTGGGAGGTGTGAATTTGGATTTCTGCGAGTTCGGTAAGTGTTCTTCCTTTCCATGAATGAATTCATCACACGTTGAACTAACGGTATCCAGAGGTGTAAAAACAAAGCCCTGCACACATAATTTTAAATCATGTTCATGTTAGCAAGGCAACGTCAATGAAAAAAGGCTGAAGTCGGTGTAAAATACTTACTTCTGAAGTGGATCCTTTGGATTATACATCCCATTATCAATGGCCAGTTTGATATCATCACGTAGAGTTGTATTCTTTGCTCGCATTAGCTGGGCCCAAAGCGACTCAATTTTTTGATTGTGAGTAGAAGTGGTGTAGTGGTGATGCTTCAATGCGTCTTCAACAGTCTCACCAGCATAGATATGTGTAAACAAAGCTTGGAATGTAGCCATATCACCAGTCTCGGTTCCATGATCAGTTGAAGTTTTGACTGGGAATCCTCCAACAGCAGAAACAAGCTCTAGAAAATATAGACCAACTACGCGTGGGTTGTTGTTTGTTCGTCCAACTCGAAGACTCAAAACCTTCCTTGACCACTAGAACATCGGGGGGCGGCGGGCCGCCCCCATCAGGCTCGGGGATCTTGTGTTGTGGACTGCGCAGAATACATTACAGTTGTCTTGTGTAGCGCCATTGCAACATGAACAGACACAGAATACACATATTTTTTCTTTGGATCATTGAAACTTCTGACTATACAAACAAATTCAACTACATGCTCAACTTTCAGCATTGCTTTGTTGAATTTGACCATCAACCTTGCATGGCACACATACATGCCATCAAATCCTATCCATTGTTCATCCTTGTAGTAAAACACTTATAATTATTCAATCAAAAATTGCATAAGCACTTACCATTCAATCCCAATACTTATGTTCAAGAAACAACAACACATCACTGAAAGATCTCCGCTCAACACAACTCAAGATCTTTCTATGACTGGAAACCCCCATCCTCTTAGGATCTGCCAAAGTTGAATTTGCTATCATCACAATTTTGGCCATAATGTCATAATCAAAAAAGATTACACATTTCATCCATCCCACATGTGAGGATTCTAGCAAGGTGAGAAGGAAGGTCCTTGCTTCTTTGGCTCACTATGGGACCCTCTCAAAATGTGATATTGAAATTGAATGCCATAATCATGAAGTACTGGTCCATCTGATTCACCAGCATAGCTTTGTTGATGAGATTGAGTGAGAATTGAGTGATTGAAGCAAAAACAGCAGTCAAATTTCCACTTCAAAAGAAAAATTATCACTCTATTTCTTTTACCAGCTTTGCATGGTGGGCTGAGAGTTTCAGAACTACCCCTTTGGCTGTAGGATGTATCATAAGAACTTCACTGATCTTGAAAGTTAAGCAAGGACAGCCCCATGAGCTTCAAGATTGATATACAAACATGATAGAATCTTGTGTGTCACTATCAAATCAACTTTTCATCTTAAAATCACCCAATATGCAAGGGTGTTGATATGTAGGTGGAACATGTACGTAGGAATCCACTTTCCCATTTTGGATTGTGATCTTTGAGATCTGTATGCGTTATATTTGCTTTGAAGAAAAAAAAGATGAAAAGAATGATATAAAGGTCATATTGAATCCATCTCTCTGTCTAATATCTTCACATCAACACCAACTTGAGTAAGATCTTTTAGATTGAAATTTCCATTTGGCATATCATATATCCTTCCAGATAAAGTAAGATGTTTCATTGAATCAGATAATTGTTTTTCATGAATTTGCATAAAAGGTAAATCTAATGAACAGATTTGATTACTTCGAGAAACTTGAGAAACTTGATTTGAAGTAAAGGTATTAGTATCAGAATATGATCTTGATTCTCAACCAAGTTTCATAAAATTTCCTTTTGATTGATTAGGTTGAATTGATTCTATGACTCTTGATTTATTTAATTTAGTCATTTGTTCTTTTAAAAAGTCTGATAAAGTGTGAGGACGTGTTGATCTAGCTGGACTATAAAGGTATTGATAAAGTTGATCATCATTCACCATACATTATTGCCTATGATTTATAGTATCCAACTTGGCAAAAATAAAAAAACAGTGTTGTTCAGGAGACATCGTATACAAACAAAATAATATGATCATTAGGTAAGGCAGGCCATTGTGTTGAGATAGTGTTTGAGTTGTAGATACGATTGGGGTTGAGAAGGATGCTTTGAAGTTTGGGTCATGAGTTAACAGGATTAGACACCAGACTATCAGGTTCATGACTGAAAGATGGATTAATAAAACTTTTAGGACTATAGCCGTCCAAATGTTGAAGAGGTTCAGACTCAAAAAGAAGGCTGTGTAAACAGTGATATGAGCTCCTGGGACACTTCACATACTCCAAAGAGAAGCATTTTTTCAGACTGTCCATTCCAACGTTTTGTTTCTTCTAACACGGGTCAATCCGCTGTGTAGAAAGCAACGGTATACCAAACATTGCCTGATATTCAGCAGTTAACACCCGCCATCATAGGACCCTGTGGAGTTTGGATTGTAGAAGACATCGTTGGAGAGCGAGCCACTTAGCATGTGCGTGTATGCGAAAAACTGGCGATCAGTCGCAGTTTGTCTACATAGTAACAAACAAATCCCTGGGGCAATCACCCCACTCACTTCTGGAATGCAGACTGACGCAGAGCCACAATGTTAAAAGAGGCACTGTATTGTAATCAAGCAATGAGCTCCGTTGTGGTAACAGGTTACAGGGTGTTTCGGGCAGACACATCGATAGGTTTCAGGCCGTTTTGAGCAGACACATTCCTTCTGGTGGTAACTATGCAGTAACCATGCATCTTTCCTTTAGTTGTTTGATGTATCAATAAAACCGTAGATACATATTCCATAAGGCTTGAGTTTATCATGGCCATCGCTAGCCCATAAGTGATTTGGCCCTGGCACATGGAATATCCTTTGCTTCAGAACTCCTCGACGACGAAGTTCCATCCCATCAGGATCAATCACCCGCATCAGCTGGTAAACTGTATCACGATTGATCCTAATGTGGTGATTTGTAGCAAGGTTTTGCTGCATAGTCCGATAGCCTGCGTTCCGATCTTCACCCTCAATTGCTTCCAGTAATAGATCTACCACCTGATCCACTGTCACACGCCCTTGCTGTACATGATCACGACGCCAATTGATACCCAAATCTTTTGACATTGTTTGAATGTTATACATATTGATTGGAATATTGTAAGTATCTTTGATTGCACACATAGCTTCCAAACGTGTCATGCCAAGGGTGTAGTATTGTTGAATGAGAGGATAAGCTAGTTCCTTCTGCTCTTGAGTCATTGATGCACGAGCGGTGGTAAGATCAAAGCGCTGGAGAATACGCTGCAGAGTTTGCAAAGTTGTCTGAATATCGTGATCATCATGAAGGCGAGTGACCATAGTAGTCTGAGTGATACCTTCCTCACAGTAGCCAAGAAGGATTTCGTCAAGGACTTCATCATCTATTTCATTGATTTGTACCATGTTTTTAGCAAGTTGATTACAAGGTTGAGTGAGTAAAAGTGATACTGAGTTGAGTGAGTGATTTTTTAAAAAATAATTCAGCGTGGAATTGGATAAAAACCACGGGAGGTGGGTGGTGATGGGGGTGGCTAGCTGGTGAAGAAGACGAGTGTAGAATTGATAAGACACTCGGTGGGGGGTGGTGATGATGGTAGCTTGCTGGTGGTGAAAAGACAAGCGTGTGATTAACCCTCGGTGGTGATGGTGGTGGTAGCTGGTGTCAGCGATGATGATGGTAGCCGGTGGTGTGTTGTCAGCCTGAGCCCCGACGGGGAATTGTCGGGGACTAGCTCGCCCGGACCCCGCCCCGACGGTTAAGAGGCCTCCCCGATCCCGTTCTCGGGTCCCCGATCGGGTTTTTTTGCGAAAAAAATGGCTGCCCGGACCCCAACCGAGTTCCCCGCCGGGGCCCCGACGCTCCGGCAAAAACTGCCCCTCACCCATGGATCAAACACGGTCCCGGCCTATTTGCGTATAGATCCGCAAAAAAGGACTGTACTGCCAGTCTGCTTTGGCGTAATCGTGGTATTTGGGCATTTGGTGCAGGGGCCGAGGCGCCTTGAGGTGTGGCTGAGGTCTCTTTGATGCCTCCTGCTGCCCACCTGGTGTCTTTTTTGTTCTCGAAAAGGTGGTTACAGGTGGTTACACACCTGTATTTGCCCCGTCGGGGACCCGTCGGGAAACTGGTTTTTCCAAGTCGCCAGCCCGACTCCCGACTCGCGGGGATCCCCGACCATCGGGGGTTCCAAAACCTTTGCCCGAACCCCTTACCGATCGGGGGCCCCGTCGGGGACCCCGATCGGAATCAGCTTCGGGGCTCAGGCTGAGTGTGGTGTGATGTCGAAAATCCGGAGGCGGAGATCGGAAATCAAAAATTAGAACAAAATTCGAAAATTCGAAATCCGAAATCCGAAATTTGAAATTTGAAAACAACGTGGCGGTCACTTCACGTCGCGGCTTCCGTATTTCACACTTCCAAGAATTCAAGATGCGCAGTATGTATTCAAGTAAGGAAATAAGATACGGTCAAGAGGCGACTTCCACAGTATCGGACAACGAGATCGTAGGCTCTCTGGAAAGATGTGGGAGCTGACGGACGGCCCTTTCAAAGCGGACCAGATTCTTCCACATGTTTGTTTTTTTCCTTCTGTTGAAAAACAGTTGTGTCGAAATTTCTTCATCCACCAAAATTTAACCTGTCCGAGTCCCACTCTTGCCTCAGAAAGCGCTAAGAGAGGGATTCAAGGCCAGAAAATTGGCGTGATAATACTTTTCACCAATTTTGCTTCCCTTTAACATCCATTTTAAGGGCTACGCACCTCAGGGAAACTCACTCCCAACAACCAGCTAATAGACTAGAAAAAACAGATGAGTATACAGAAATAATCAGATCTGGAGCCTGCCCTGGAAACGCTTAGGAAGCCCACAGCCGTGAACCGGTTGTACAACATGTTTTTTGTTTGAATATTTTGTTGTTCATGTTTTTAGGTGTACTTTTTGTTGATGTGTCACCAAAAAATTGTATTGAAGAATAATGATCTACAGGTGTTGGATGGCTTAGATCCAAAGACACATATCTGACACTTTTAAAATACCTCTTCTTTTTGTCATCATTTAATAGATAACTTAAAACTTAAAAAAAAGAAAGATCAAACTGACACAAATGTTCTTTTACAACCAAATCAAAAAACCCAAAAATACAAGAAAAGAAAAGTAGATATGAAATATTAAAAATCAAAGAGAAAAATCTGATGAAAATGTAAAACCTTAATGATCCCATTCAAGATTTTAAAATATTAAATAAATTAGGATAAGCCCGAATATGATGTGATTTATTGATGTCAGAAGTTAAGTTTAGATGATCTAGTACCAATCTTTTTAGATTGTCAAGATATCTTACCCACCATACCAAATTATTTCATGATTAAGATCATAGATGAATCTCCATGAATCATAATGTACGAGAGCCGGATCTTGAGAAGACTGAAAAGACAGCTATGAACTAACTGATAGTTTGTGGATTACGTGCTGCGCAAACGGCGCAAGTATCCTATGAAAAAAAGAGAGCAAGAGCCGAATGAAACCAAGACGAGGGTAGAATTTGAAGGTATGATGAGGACAAACCCAAGTTATCACAACCTCAACATGGTCTCCATCGGTCATTCTAAGCTATTGGAACACAATATCATCAGTAAACTTGACTTGAATGGTCAGAGTAGGGTAAGTTGAAAGGTGTCACTCACATCCTCGGGGGAGCTCTGGTTGTGATCAAAGGATGAAAATTAAAAGCTCATGATCAGACCTGTTATAACAATATGTATGTGATAATCAAGAAGACTCACTTCTCCACAGAGTCTGAGAATAAACTCCAAAAAATCAAAATCAAATCAAAAATTTATACAAAGAAAACCAAACTGAATCAAAAAGATTTTTTTTTAAAAGTTTTGTTTGTTTTGATTTCTAACCTTTGATTATCCCACCTAAAACAAAATGTACCATTCTTCAAACCAGTATGTTCAGCATAAACGTCCATGACTCTATCAAATCTAGTGGTACGTTTCATTTTGATCTCAACCAAATTACCTTCATAACCTATTACTTTAAACTGTTTATATCAGTTTGAAGTATTGATTGACGAAAGAAATGATTAAATTGATTTTAAAAACACATAGCTTCTGGGAGAGAAGATCAGAAGGGTCATAACGAAGCTTACACGAATACGTGATTGAGATTCGAGTATCATGATTTCTAGGAACTCCATTTGCTATTGATAAATTATAACGATTCTAATTCGATCTTATTAGCAATCAAAACTTTTGATGACAACATAAAAGAATACCATAAATGCTCACCAAACGTCACGGTCTCAATGAGAAAGAGTACCTAATACAATTTTAATTTGAGAACGGGTCAAAGGTTGAGCAACTGGTGAAGAGCTTTATAAAGTGTAGAGGTTTTATTCAAAGGTTCGAAAGAACTTACGACTCTTCAAGCTTTTCCAAGAATCCATTTCTTTTGAGTAGAATCATATCAGACCATGACGCGTGTTTTTATAAAGGCAAAACGATCACAAAAGTACTTGAAGAGATTGTAAGTCTACCTCAATAGATCCCTTTGTGGATCACAAAATTGAGATTAATACCCAGTCTCTATGTTCAGAGGATCTCAAATTCTTACTTCTTCTCTCACTTTGACCGTCATTTTTGAGCTGAGTTCGTTCCAGAGACAAAGGCCCTTGAAGAAGAATGAAATTGACAACTTCTCACCGCCATGCGAAGAGTACAATTTCAACCCTGTCTTTCTGGTCAGAATGTCTACACCACGGGGCAACTTTGAACTGGGACCACGTGAAATGTAAGTTGGGTATGACCACGCCGAGTGGTTGTGTAGAACAGGTGAAGGCAGTGTGAGTGCGGCTACGTGGCCCTCACCCGATGCTTGTCACCTGCTCTACACATCGAGAGGAAGACCATGTCGGCATGACGTGGCTTACCAGCCTATCAGTCGGTGAGCTGGTTGGTACGCGCGCGACCTGCCAGCAAGGTGCTCAGCACGTGATTCAGCTTGCGTGCCGGTAGTATAAGCTGATTTGCCTTCTGAGCACCTCGCTGGCAGGTGAGCTAACCAGCCAGGTGCTCAGCGGGCAATTGAATTTGGATCAGGTGCTCAGCACGTGAACAATCCTCCCTCATGTGAGTCATTATGGCTCAGGTTCACTCGCAACAGGGCAGCTCATGCATCTTGAAGACATCTTTTAGAACATTTTTTTTTCATTTCAATTCATTTCCATCCACATGTATATACCAAATTAAGTATTACACATTCATAGTCGAAAATGGCCAAGGTAATAAACTAAACAGGATTGAAAAAAACGATTGAAAAAGAAGAAAATCAAGTAAATAGAAATAAAATGAATAAAAAACATGTAGCCCTAGTAAAGCGGAAGGAAAATATATAGAAAAATAAAGAGAAGAATTGTTAGTAAAGAAAGTAATTAGAACAAAAAGAGAGAGATAGGAATCAAGGTACATACTTACAATTAAAACATATAATTTTGAACAAGACCAATTGGATATAAGAAATGCAATTGAAAGAATTTATCAAAATTAAATCAAAAGAAATCAGTATCAAGTAAAAGAATAATAAGACATAAAAATAGGAAGAACTCCCGTTTATCAGTTAGAGATTGATTGGGTGACGAGATCTTGATAACCAAAGCAATGAATCAATGACAAATTAAAAAAAATTGTACTCAATAGATAAACCGAAGTGATAGAAGATGAGTTGGAGCAATTTGCAAGCTAAATGATGCAGACTGGTGATGATAGCTTTGACACCCTAGAAAACAATCGAAAGACATGACTAGTTGTAAACATCATAATACAAGGCTCTTAGTATCAAGTTGGCAATATTGGATGACAAAGAAGAAGAAAAGACTTACGTGATGGGCTAGCTCAATATAAGCAAAGAGTGATCAAGAAGAGCTGTTGGCCAAAGTGATTTTGAAATTTGAAGGTCGCGTTTCCAGGCTGTGTAAATATGTACTAAATGTCATGCCTGGTGACATTTTCATAACCGGGCTTATGGACAATGAAGTATGACATCACAGGTACATGTCACAAATCTCACTACACTTTGTCCGCTGCCCCAGTCTAGCCCATTCTACGCTCGAGTTCTTCATCACACATGGGTCAGTGATCACATCACATCGATCACCTTTGTCTTGGAGCCACTCATTCATTTGACTTCTATTGCATCATGATTCTGATAGGTATCAGTTGGCTGGATCCAACTCTTTCTTTTCTTTCCAACCACTCTTTCAAATTTCATTCATTCAGATTCATATTTGCTGACTCTGGTCCTCTTCCATTCATATTGAAGTCCTTTGATCGATTGTTTCATTTGTCAGCCTTTACTTCTTTCATATTTATCTCATTCAAGTTACTGTGAAGCTTGATGTCATGATTTGCTCCTGTTTGAAGTGTTAATTTCAAACCCTTTGATCGTTTGTTTCATTTGTAAGTTCTCTTTTCCCCTTGCTTGAACGATTTTCTGATGTATCAATGAAGTTGAAGACTGACCTTTTGGTACTTTTCTGTCAATTTGTTCATATATTCATCATCATTCCTCTCTACCAGATATCAATGTTCTCCTTCCTTTTTGTTCATATGGTTCTTATTGTCCTGTACACCTGGATCGATCTCGTAGATTGTAGGTCTTTCTTTGTCCCAATTTTTTTTATCTCTCACTGATCAATTCATTGGTTTACTGCTTAATCAATAGAACCAATTGATCAAATCTATCAAGCACTACAATCAATAATCGAAAATTTCACTCGCAGACTATTTCTATTTCTGTTACCTTACTGTTTTCAATGTTGTTTGTGTTTCTATCATCACCGTAACTAGTTTTTGTCCATGCAAAGATCAGATTAGTTGGTATACTATGCACTGCGTGAGCAAAAATTGAGAACCTCCCAGCCTGATTCAACTGTTGTGGCTATTCAGCCATCATGAGGCTGGATGAGCCAACGCTCACCAGCTCAATACAACTTCCGTACAGTACAAGCGTGTGAGCTTTCACACCTGGTCGTCACAAAGCTTGCCTCATACCCTAACAAGGCGAGTCAGCTCACCCGTTCATTTATGATATGAGTTGACTCACCCGCTCATCAGGTGAGTTATCACGCTTTAGCAAGGTAATCAGATTGGGTGAAGGCCACACTGGCTGGCACGTGTAACTCACGTTGGGTATGACAATGTAGACAGCACATATTTCAATGGCTCACGTGAGCGTCACGTGCCATCCGCCCCGTGGTGTAAATATACATTTCTTCTCCCACTTTTACTATTAGGCTCTGAGCAGGCGATCTCTCGATTCATCATCCACCCTGTTAGACATAAGGAAAGTGGAAGAAAGAAGGAATGGTAGGCGTCCTTTTCATTATGTATTGCTAGTACAGACCAGTATGAGGACAGCCGACATAAACACTGAACTAATGATCAAGATCATCTCATACGACCACAACTTGATATCAGATCAAATCAAGACACAATTTGGAGAGAAAATTGACCAGAAAATGTAACTTTGAAGATGTTGGTAGTTTATTACAACACAAAGCGCGCACAACATTAAACAAGACTACCAACATATAGGAGATTATGCAACAGTATTTCAACTCCAAGGGGATCACCAAATACTTCAAGCTGCTTGACATGGAGAATGAGTAAGGCGTCCAGGAGGAAGAAAGAACAGGTAGACAATCAGAAAATAAGCAAGAAGTACAGTAAGCATGGCTAATGAATCAAAAAGACAACAGAGTAGGGACACATAACCTGATCTGAAGGCTGGAAATCTTATCTCCATGGACCAATCGTTTATTCCGTTCGTCCACCGCCGATCTAAAAACGAAGCGATTGAAGAGAAGAATGAAACCAAATCGTAGGAAATCTTGCTTGAAAGAAGGGTTTTCAAGAAGAGGACGGACCTGCTCGATCATCACATCAATAGTGTCGTCATCGGTCATATCAAGCTATTAAAAGCAATTATGATGGGTAAGCTGAACTTAAATGATCAATGAAGTAAGCTTAAAGTAATCACTCACATCCTCGGGGGTATCCTAAGGCCGTCGTTCGAGGATGAAATTAAATCCCAATAATTAGGTGTCTTATACTAGAAATCAAAATCTAAAATCTCTTGAGTAAACTCACATCTACATTGATTCTGCAGAAAAAAACTCAAAAGAAATCAAATCAATCCGCCAATTTTGAAAACGAACGAATTTCAAAGAAGAAGCAAAAACTTTTAATCTTTCAAAGTTTCATGTTTGTTTTCTAACCTTGTACCTTCATATGTGAAACGAACAGATGCGATTGCCATTCCAGTTTGTTCTGCATAAGCATTGATAACTTTACCAAGTTTGGTAGTCGGTTTAATTTTAAAACAAATCTCTTTGTGATCAGAATCTACGACCCTGATCTGTTGATTACCAATAAATAACACCCATCATCGAATAGTTGAATATCAAATCCAAATGTTAGAATGTTGACAAAATACAAACTTTTTAAGAGAAGAGAATAGGAGGATATCACTTACATTTAGGACATTTGGATTAGAAGGTTCATCGTTTGACATGATTGATAAAGAGACCGTTTGCCTGTTTTTGCTAGAATATACCGATAACATATCGATCTTATTAGCAATCAAATCTTATAAAATACGATAGATGAAAGCATTTAACTACTAATGCTCACCAATCGTTAAGTCGGACTTTCGAGAAGGTCTTTAGATAAATTGAAATTCTTGAACAGATTGAAAACGAGGAAGGAAGTCTATAAATTGTAATTTGGTATTTGAGTAGTTGGTTAAAAGGAAGAAGTGTGAGACGGACATACACAGAAAGCCTGATTAACTTTTTGACGGTTTTCTAGGGTTTTCTTCTTAAATCAACTGTATTTTGTAAACACAAGAGCTTGATTAGGCTTGATTACTAAGGTAAGCAAAGACCTAAATTAGGTATGAGAAGCTAGAAGCATCCTTACAAGCTAAATGACGTGGGTGGGTCAGAGAAAAACTTGATGCTGAGCTTGAGATATTGAAAAATTGAAAAAATGGGTGAGGTTCTTTCGCGTGAAGGTTTCCATTTCTTCGGAATGCCCCGATCTGGGACCGTACCACATCAGCAACGCTACGTCCCCAAGAGCTTGCAAATGCCTTTGTTGGTTCTCTCAATCAATAATCAAGTATACCCAAGCCCTTCAGCATGGCTGCAAAGTCTGCAAAATCAAAAAAAATCCATTCTTTCCTGTAACCATAACTGATTTACATAACACCTGGTCTTGAATAGTGCATACAAGAAATGACCATAGTTGCTTGCACAGTGTCAGACATCAGCCACACACCACACAAAGTCATCCTCTTGGCTGCACAGGATGATCCTGTTGATACTAAGTAATCATGTGCCATTATGTCAAGGATTCATGACCATCAATCACCATAAAAGAGCTGCTACATGGTCCCCCAAATTATAATCTTTGAGGCGTATCTTGTCTGTCATCTGTAGGTAATTATCTAGCAGACAGTCATCATTGGATTCTACCATGTCCATCACAACCATCAAAGTCTTTGTGAGATATATATTTTTCTGAATCCATTTTACTATTGGGAGTGTCTTTTTGGGAAGGGAGTTGAGCTTGCAATCTGCATAGAAATAGCATAAATTTGCTTCTGATTTCATAGGGATGAATCAAAACACCTCACCAACACCAAAGAATTTGTGAAAGAACTTGAGGTGGAAAAACAGGTGAAGGAGAGTTACCACCATTATATAGAGTATCACATCCAAAGGCTTCACTTCAAAACATTCTAAGACTTGTCCAATCCCAAGCTGAGCAAAAAGAGAATAAACACACATGAACATGTGAGACTCTGAAATTCCACACAAACACTTTGGTTTCCACTGATGAGCCAGTCAAGCAAGCATACTTTCAACTATCAATCTATATATGTATCTAAGAAGAAGAATTATAAACCAAAAACCAATGATAAAGTAAACTCCACAAAATTTTGAAAATTCTTAAACAAAAAATAATAGAATATCAAAACCTATTGAATATAATCTTTCACTATTTTAATTGATGATGTTTAGCAAGAAAATATCAAGTATAAGATCTCATGTAGATTTTCTAATATTGATATAAATCACTCTGAAATTCTTAAACCCAAACAAATTCCAAATCCAACATTTAAAATATGTAAATGACTATTAGTATATGTATACTCATTTAATCTAAAAGAAACCAATTCCCTTTCATCAAATGAACCATTTTTCTAATTCCATCCTGTTCAATTTCATTCCATAAGACTTATTTTTTCAAACCATGTAATCACACAAAAAAACCCAAAACCATAAATCAGAAACCCCAAATTTGTCAATTTATCAAACCTTAAGAAACCTTCAAACTTACAAAAAGTGACTTGAAGATATTTCTATTGAACAAGAACCCAACATTGACAATTTCTTTTATGACAAGTTGAACAAAGACCAGGACTAGATGGTTCAGATCTATCATTAATCTGGCTAGTTGGTACAATCAATTCTTTTGAACTTTGACTAATCTTTTTGGGTTCTAAGAAATCAATTTCACTGCTTTGTAGGTCTGGTGTAGGTGATCCTATTAAAGAGGTAATGAAAAAATCAAAATGAATTAACCAAACTAAGAAGGTCTTGTAGGATTGATTTGCTTTGATTTGCATCTTAGCTAGGTAAATGGATGGAGTTTGTAGCTTATGAAGTTCAATGTATGGCTTTTCTTATTCTTCTATATAAGATCTTTAAAATCTCAATTTCAATCAAGTGTAAATCCTGATCAGGCTATAAATCTCAATTTTTCTGGGCTCATACTACCTCTTAAAATACCAATACCTCACACTGTCTTCTTTAAACCACAAACACCCTCACCGTTACACCTTATCACTTAATTCATTCTCACAAGTTTGAAACAATAAATCACTTGAGTAATCTACATAATCTCTATGATGTATGAGAAAATGGTAGATAAGAAGTATAAGATACCGTTCAAAGGATTTCAGTGATGAAAATGTATGATCGAAGACCATTAATTTCAAAACCAACTCTTTCATTCTTCAGTTCATGAAGGAAAGTTGAAACTCCTCGAAACCTTGTATCATCTTTAAGTCAATCAGTCTTTCAGTTTCGATATCTCGCAGTTCTCCAGAACCGTTTGTAATCATACTCTTCCTGCGCACATTCTGAAAACAGGAACCATCCTCAGAAGATCATACAGTCAAATCGGAAAAGCTTGACCGATTTTGCCCGCAAAACTCGAGGAATTTGGCGGGGAATTTGTGACAAGCTTTTCCGGTTTGACTGTATCTGATTGTGTTTCTTATCGTTGGCCCGCCTTAACCGATCATTGGGCCAACAGATGATACGCCGGATGTTACACCGGGTGTCAATGTCATCAATGGTTTTGAGAGATACTGCGTCCCACTGGTGATGACGTTGGACAAGATACATAAACGGTTTGGCTAGTCGGCCGAGCGCTCGGTCGGTTTGATGCATTCATACTCCAGAGACTAAACTTATCAAAGTCCCCCTTCACGAGTATATACATAATCGAAGACCTGGGCCAAGCTTCATCTACATTTTACAGAGGAAGTTGATTGTATTTTCATACCTGATTCATGGTCAATTCTTTGTAGGAATATCTTGAGTAGAAAACCTCTTTGATCTTCATCTATATCCTTTCTTTGTCTTTCTTTATGATTTGATGTTTCATTTTTCATTTTTTATTCATCTTCATCTTTCCTTTGATTTATTAATTCAAAATCCGATTCTAAAAACTAAAAGATTCATCAAAAAATATCTATATATGTAAATACCTTTCCTTGAACTATGTCCAAATCCAAATCATTCCAAGAAACCAAACCAATCTTTAAAAAAATCACTTCATTAATTGACACCAGACCAATCCACCTTCATAATCAAACGACCCACACCCAATACCTCAGACCGATCCAAAAGATCAGTTGACCAAACCGTGCAAACCTTCCCACCCCGATCTTGACAATGTCTCATAAACTCATAAGAACTACCACCGACACCGAAATAAACGGATTTACAAGCCACCAAGAGATCAGATGAACCGATCCTTTTAAAAAGATCCACTAAAGATAAAACCGAATCAGGTGAATAAATCGTTTCTGAACTATAACTTAGATCGTATTGGATTGAAAGCTTTGAGCATGAAGGTGGATGACGTAAGAAGGTGTGCCAGGGTCCGTAGAAGAATCGGAGTTGGATTTGGTGCTGATGTAGGGTTTTGAGAAAGTGAGTGTGTAGGTCTGTTGTGAGTTCTAGATCTCCAGAGTCTTCTTCTATCGTACTTGAAGTTGGGTTGGTTTGGGATAAAACTAGTTGGTTTGCTCGGTAAAAGGCTAGAATTATGTTTGGAAATGTGAGTAGATAAAGCACTTTGGAGTAGAAAATGTCTTGTTAGTTTTGGAGTTTGATAGGAAGAAAATCGAATTGTAGTTACCTTCTGGATTGAAATCTTGGAAATGAAATTCGATCCTAGGTTGATGATCAGGTATATCCTGTTGATCTCTTTGATCAAATGTGTTGGATTTTTCATATAATAATAAATCGTAAAATAATTTAAACAAGAACCAAACCGTTGGTAAAGCAGTTCCACAACCGATTTCTAAAACTTTGATTAATTCTTTTTGATTTTCTTGATTTTGATTTTCTTGATTTGGTTTTAAATGATTTGTAAACTTTAAATTAGTTTGATGAGTAGAAAAATATTCAATTAAATCTAAACTTGATTCCCATGTTTTAAATCCACCTTCATAAACCCCTGGAATCAAATCAGATGGATCATTTAATAAGTTTTGTACATGATCATTTGATTTACCTACCAAACCATTACTCTTGAAATTTGATTTTGGATTTAAATTTGATTTTTCATCGATCCTTTTCTTCTTCTTTTGTTGATCTTCTTCTTCTTCTTCTGTACTTGAATCTGATTGGGTTTCAGGATCTAGATAAGTTTGGTATTTTGCATCATATAGATCTCGTTTCCAAATCGATTTTGTAGAATCGGTTGGAATAGTCTTGATTTTGATTGATGAGTAAGACAAAAAAGGAGGTAAACTGGTAATCTAAATATCAACAAACAGGAATAGATTAGTGATTAGTTTGATACATATAAGCAAAGTCGATCAAATGTAATCTTACGAGTTCTTCTAGTTTGATTTCACCAGATCTGTCTGTTGAACTTTCTGGAATAGGTTCGGTTGGAGTCTTGATTGGTTTGTTTGATGAGTTCAAGTTGAGGTTTTGGTTTGTTTGATCAGATGAACTTCCTTCATGTTTGTCCGTATCAGTTAATGAGTCTAGATCCTGTTGAAAAGGTTGAGAAAGGCATGAATAAGTATATCTTGTAGAAGCGTTAAAAGTCAAAGAATCACTTACGAAATCAAACTTGAACATTTCTGGAATGTCGCTCAATGAACCATCGACCGAACTATCTAAGTAAGTATTTGAAGTAAAATTGCAATAACTGTATGTTCTGTATGTATGCGTCTTGAAAAATTTAAGTAACCATCTTGAGCCATACCAGTGCCAAAGTGTTTCAAGTTTTTTTCAAATCTCAACCAACTCACCACAACCACCTCAACCACCTCAGATCCAATCAAAAATGTCAAGACCAGAGCATCAAGCACCACCCGAAATAGTTCATGAGTCAAACCCATTTCCTTAACCCATCTCTTTAAACAAAACCAGACCAAGTAACTGACCAAAATCAAACCACTTCTTACATATTTATATAGTTTTATAATGATACCGAAGCAGCTAAATATACAACTTCATCAAGAATTCAATCTGTTCAAGCTGAAATGGCAGAAAGATGTTTAGAACTTTTGAACTTACCTACTATCACCACCACCACTACCACTTCTTCTTCTTCAGAAGATATGTCCGAAGATATCTCAGAAGATGATCAAACAGAAGAAAGAGTGGTACCTAAACCTAGTTTTTTACTTGATATTGGTTGTGGTAGTGGATTAAGTGGTGATATTATTACTGAAGAAGGTCATCATTGGGTTGGTGTTGATATTAGTGGTAGTATGCTTGGTTAGTCTTTTTTTTCTTATCAAGAAAATCAAATCATGTTAATCATCTAAAGGTTTTTTTTTGAAACTTTTTTCTTCTTTGGCAGAAATCGCTTTGGATAGAGAAGTGGAGGGTGATCTTTGTTTACATGATATTGGTCAAGGGTTCGGATTCAGAGCAGGTAGTTTTGATGGAGCAATAAGGTACATCCTTCCTTTCCTTGTATCTATCTAAACCGAAACCGATTTCAAGATCTTTGCAATCACTAAACTTTTTTTTTTTTGGAAACCCAGTGTTTCAGTTATTCAATGGCTTTGTAATGCAGATAAAAGTACGAATTCACCACCTAAACGATTAAAGCTCTTTTTCGAAAGTTTATTTGGATCATTAGTTAGAGGAGCAAGAGCTGTGTTTCAATTCTATCCTGAATCAGATGATCAAGTTCGATTTATTATGTCATATGCTAATCGAGCAGGTTTTACTGGTGGATTAGTAGTCGATTGTAAGTTTGATCCTTTTTCTCTATTTATTCATTGGAATTCATCATGCATTTTTCTTTTAATTCATGTAGATCCAAATAGTCAAAAAGCAAAAAAGTTTTATTTGGTGTTAATGACTGGTACTTCAACTAATTCAAATCATCAATTACCAAAAGCTTTAACAGAAGATAATTCATCATCATCAAATCATCTTCAATCAAAAGTTAAATATGAAACTCAACGTAAAAAGTTATCGAAAAATCATTCGAAATCGAAAAGATTAGGTGGTGAAGATAAACAAACTTGGATTTTAAAGAAGAAAGACCTTTATCGAAAAAGAGGAAAAGAAGATGTGAGTTTTTGATTTTGGTTTATTTTTGGTTTGAATTTGATTAGATTATCATTTGTGTGGGTTTATGTTGATGTATAATCGGTTATTTTCGTTTAGGTACCTCGAGATTCGAAATTTACGGGTCGGAAAAGAAGAACTCAATTTTAAATTTTTATCATAAAGAAAAAACCTACAGAAATTTTGTTTTTTCTATACCTTTTATACTATTTATATAGTACTTTTTACTTTCTTCATTTAGTTTTTTTTTCTTTTCGAGTTTTTAAATCTAAAAAAAACACCTTGTGATTATACCATGATTTTACCTTTTTTTTGGAGGGGAGTTACATTAGTATACAAAGAAATCCAAAATTTCCCAGAGAGAATTATAAAGATACACTTTAAGTTTCAACAAATAAATTCGAAAAGATGAATGATCAATTTTCAGAATAAAATCTCCAATATACCTTTTCCAATTGATTCATGAAATTGTATATGTGTCATGTCAGGGGGAAACCAATGAAGAATCATTTGGTAAATTGTGCTGAGCGTGCTAGGCTGAAATGATATTGATCACAAATGCAATCTGCGGTGCTTGAATGCAAAAACCTACTGGTACTTGAAAGAGGTTTTGAAGGTTTTGAGTGTGATAGTCACTCAATTATCAGTCTTTAACAAACCAAGTCGATTGCTATCATGTTCATGTTGGGTGATCAACTTCAAAAAATTCTCGAATCCCCAACATATACATACAAACCAGTATTTCTTTCTTCACATAGTCATACTCATCATACTTAGTTTATTTCTCATGTATAATGCAAGATACATTTCAACCCAATCAAACCCTTTTTCAATTCTCTTTAATGTATTCAATTCCAACCCAAAAGTTTCTTTTGTATAATAAACATATCAACTTTTCTTTCAAAAAAAATAACAAATCCACATATATATAAGTATACTAAATCAAAACCCTATTTTTAAAGAAATAGTCAGATAAAACACTTAATTAAAAATCTATTTAAACAAATTGGATTTAATAAATCTATAAAAAAGTTTTCAACTTAAAAAAAAACTATTTCATGATTTTTTTTTGGAATTATTGATTTTATTTTGATCAAGTTCGACCGTGACTTCCAATCATTAAAATATTTCTCTTTTTTCCAAACAAAAAAAAACATACATTCAAAACCCAAGAAAAAAAAACCCCTTTCGCATTCTTCCATCATGATCATCTTCCATTCCCTCTTTTTCTTTCACCCATGATTTTCCTTCTAGCTTCGATTTCCAATTCAGTAGCCCCAATACTCCATTCAATCGATCTACCTAACCTACCACCTCCATTCGAAGATCCAAATCCAATCAAACATTCTTCTACAGCCAAACATTGATATTGTCTTAAAGATTCTAACATGTTTAAACCTAATTCGATTTGTTCCAAGTTATTATGAATCAAGTTTCTTAAATCGAAAATCGATCCTTTCACATTCACTGTTGATCTCCATGTATGATCACATAATTTCGTGATCGTACTTTTGGTGATGATCGAGATTGGATGACCGATTCCGTATAAGAGATGGACTCCAGAGATTATCGATTCGGTTTCGGATGTCGCTTGTTTTAGGTTTTGATCGGTTTTACATAACAGATGAGAGATCATCTTCATCCTTCTTAAGTCTAGGATCGGATAAAAGGCTGGTCCAAAGGTGAAGGGTGATAATTTGATTTGAAACCATTCGATTGCTTTTTCAGCATAATAAGCTGCTTTCGCTGGTTCTGTAGATGATCCGCGCCAAAAACGAATTACCATCAGAATCGATCATAAGTTTCTCGGATTGGTTTCACTTCATGATTATTGGAGAGTTTAGGCTTACCTCTTTGAGGATTAAGGGCTTGTCCAGACTTCTTGATCGCTAATCGTTGTCCTTCAACATCAATCAATCTTGAAAACCCACAATTAGGACAACTGATTTCTTTCTTTTGATTTCCACCTGAACAAGAAGGACCAGCATCTAATCGTCGACCTGAACCTGCGATTTGAGGTCCTGGAACTGGATTAGATTGAGCTGCTGATGCTGCTGAAGCTCTTGCATCCTCATAAAGAACTGATTTGGAATCTACCACCATCAGAAGAACAAAAACCAAACCATTAAATCTTTTATGTGTTGAGGAGAGGAAAATAAGATCACAGAGGAAATCGTTTAGACTGACGAGTGAGTGAGAACCAACTGGTACATTTAGGACATTTAAGGGCTTCACGTGGATCTACTTCATTCGGATCTGAATTCATACAAAGTGCACAATCACACATAAAATGATACCTATGTGCAAGATCATTTCTTCTTTCTTTTCGAGTCCCAGATAAATCTACATAAGAAGTGACAATCTAAATCCCAAAGATCGCCAGCAAAAAAAATAAAAATAAAAACGTTTGAGTTAACCAAAAAAAACAAAACGAATTGAAGAAAGAAGTGAAGAAAGAAACTGAACCTCTTCACCCGGTTCGATTTTTTTAATCGCAATGACTTTGACCCATTCTTTACCACCTGTTTTTTTACTTGCTCCTTCACCTCCTTCAGGAAAGACTACTACTACATTAGGTACACAAGAGTGATTGATAAATGAAGCTGATGGACAAAGGATCAGACCGATATTATCCAAGGTGATAGAAGTCAAACAAAAAGAGTTTTCAAGGAACTAAAATAAAAACAAGTCCCCATCAAATTCAACAATGAGCAAAGACTGAATGGGTTTTATTTGATTGATTGATTTTTTTTTGGATGAGTGGAAAATGAAAGTTTACTGACTCGACAACAGAATGGAAGTAGTGTAGATGCTGAACCAAGTGCTTTTTGTAAGGTTTGACTTCCGATATATCGACTCAGGTTTACGCTCAATTGCATCAGTCTGTCTTTCGGATAGGCAGGATCGGCATTCAGGTCTATCGATCCAATCAATGTTCAAAGAATCATCAATCGGTATATCAGTTGATAAGAAACACCCAAGAGACAACTCACGATGATTCAGCTCTTCCATACCGGTCCACTAAAGATACAACAAACTGAGTGAGTATGACATTCAAGTGAAGATCATGACAAGAAAAGAAACCAAAAGACTAACCCAATTCGGATCCCTTTCGGCTTCTCGATCTTTCTTCCAAATCAATCGACCTAAAGCTCTAATAGGAGCACTAGGAACTTTACTGAATTCTTGACCAGAACCGTGATCATCATCAATTTCTAAACCATCAAGACCACTACCACTACCACCAAGTGTTCCACATAAGGTTGTACCACTTCTGGTCACTTTGCCATTCATCGATGTACGAGATTTTGATTTTTGATTGACTTTCAAAAGATTTTCGATCATCTTTGAATAATTTGTTAATGCTTGACATTCAGCTTTATGTGATACCCAATCTAAACGTTGACAATTCTAATGATTAAAATAAGATGAGTTAGTTTAAGAACTTTTAAAGACTTTTGGATGGGAAAAAGAAAACTAACTTCTCCACAATAAGATACTACGCGACATTTTGTACATCTTCTGATTTGTCTTGAAACACTTGGATCTGGTAATGCTTCGAAATCTTCATCTTCTAAAAAACAAGAAGAACATCTATTCGAAAGAGATGAAGTATCTAAAACGGCCACATGAGGTGACAAAGAAAGAACAGTTGTACCTGATTTCCATCCAAAAGAAAAAAAAAAACAAGAAAAGGATGAAGGTGAGTATGAAGGTGTGAATCGGAATGATTTTAAAAGGTCAAAGAATTCACCTGGTTTAATAGTTTTTGAACTTTTTGAATATAGACCTCTACCTCTTTTAGGTCTATTATGATCTAAACAAAGTTCTACAAACTTATTGGGTTTGAATATTTTGGAATTAGTGATGACTAGATGAGATGAATTTAAAAAGGGTGGGTTTGATATTTCTTCTTGTTCTTGTCCTTGTTCTTGTTCTTTTTCGATTTCATTCTTTTGAATTGGTTTAGTTGATTGAGTAGGATGATCCATTTGGTTGATGATGATGATGGTAAATGAACTTGTTAGGATATTGAGGTTGAGCTTCAAGAAATCAAAGTTTTAATTTTTTTTTTCTTGAATTTTGGATTACATAACAGAAATAACCAAAACCCATACATACTGCTCAGAGTTTAAATTCCCATTCTTCAAATCAAAACTCTTCAAAAACTTAAACAGCTTAAACCCTCACCCGCAGTGTCAGTGTGTACAGTTCTATTTTTAATCTCTAAATGATCTGCCTCTATAAATTCAATTCGAAGCATACCTTGGACAAACTGTCTCAAAGTGTGCATCACTTGAGTTGTACATACATATACCATTTCACTCAAAAGAAATGTATGTGGTTGAATATATAGAAGAAAGAATGATCACCAATGGCAAAAGAACCTATGTATCTCATTTTGGTTGGTACATATTTTTATCTTCACCATCTCTTTCAACTCTTGAATACTTGAGTTGGTTATTCTTTCTTTCATCACATCTTTTGCAGGTATGACTTAATGTTACAAGCCTTTGTAACTCATCTTCCCATGCTGATAACATCCTCCAGTATCACAAACAAGATTTGTATATGAATTCAAAAGTGAGTTTAAAAATAATTATCATGATGAAATGACAAATAATGAAGTAGAAATTGAAGAAATACTATTTGAAAAGAGGTATTTGAACATTGGCCAGATTTATTACTGCTTTGAAAATGGATTGTAAATATAAATAGTCACTTACATCTGACTCCAGAGACTTGTTTGATGTCATGGGTATCCATCATCTGTCTCATTATCTATTTAAGTAGATTTCTTATTTGTGTTTGGTATCAGAGCCTCAAAATTGATTGCATGTTGAGTTTGTGAATACACGGTCTCAGATGTTGGTCAGAGTTTTTTTTATTGGATCAAGTGAGATTATCACCTGTCTATAAAAGGAGAACATCATATTTTGTTGAAATTGCTTCCTTGGAAAGAGATTCAAATTTACCTTTACTGGGAAGCAAGAACAAATGGAATAAAAATCTTGAATGTGTAATGCAAATAAGTAGAGTGTGGGAATATGGCCAACTGATGCAGATGTTGTGTTCTTGATACATATTTTCAGAGTGCTTGTTCATCTGCTTTGAGCTTGAACACAGTGCCAGTTGGTTCATGAAGATAGTAAAACATTGCTTATGTTTTAGATTCATGAGATTCAACTCTGCAAATGGTCTATGCTCTGATTAAACACTCTAGAAAAGGTTGAGAAACTATTTTGATCATTAAATTAAAATACATTTTACAAGTCTAAGTTCAAGAATCAAGCATAATACATATAGATGAATGATTATCAAAACCTCTCATCATATAATCACATCAATTACTTATTAAATCCAAACAAATCAAATGTACAAGTATTTATAATGACCTTGACCTTGACCTCGAGCTTGACCTTGACCTTGACCTTGACCTCGGGCTTGGGCTTGGGCTTGAGCTTGAGCTTGAGCTTGACCTTGTGCTTGTACTTGAGCTTGAGCTTGAGCTTGAGCTTGACCTCGAGCTTGAGCTTGAGCTTGACCTTGAGCCGGTTTGAATTGAGAAATTCTGGCCGCTAGATCAGGATCTGCTCGTGCAAAAACGTCTAATGCAGTAGAGATGACTTGTGGGAATTCAACTGTGAACAAACTACTTGCTACATTTCTGTTGAGTGTTGAGATTGTCAAAAGAGCTTAGGTGTTAGTGATGGGTTTATGAGAAAAAAACATGTCGTTAGGGCTTACGAGGCTAGGTTGTTCTTTTGGTCCTCTGAAAGAGCTTGGTAGTACATTTGGGGTTGCTCAAAGTCGATGTCTGAAATCTTTTCAAAGTGTGAAGTGTTAGTGATTGAATCAACTTTATCGTATCAAAAGTTGGCTACTTACTTGACTCAGATACCTAATGGCACCAGCAGTCCAGATGGTGTGGTTGGAGTCATCGTACTGTCGTGGTGGGATGTTGATACTTTGGAAACTGGAAAGATAATTTGGTCGAGAACCTTGGTTTCCAGTTACTCCACCAAAAACGCCATCCCTTTGGAAATTGGCTGATAATAGGAATGTTTCATCAGTGAGGAATTTCCAAAGAGTATACTGTTTGACTCAAACTTACCGACTGGGTTCATGGGACAATTTACAGGAATTTGTTGAAAGTTTGTTCCAAGACGGTAACGCTGATGAAGATCATGAACAAGATGAGAAACATTCAAGTTTTGATAGACGAAAGAAATTGACTAACCTGAGCATCAGGGTATGAGAAAGCTCTGGCTTGAAGGACTGGATCTTCACTGATTTCCCATCCATCAACAACATTAGAGGGAGAAAAAGCGGCTTGCTCGATCTGATTTCAAACTTGATCAGAGAGAAGTTAAGATGACACGATATTAAAAAGAAGATACTAACCTCAGCAAAGTAATTTTGAGGATTCTGATGCGGAAAGATTCGTGTTAATGTCAAGAACGATTGGGTTGTGCTTTAATCAGGGTTTCCAAAAGTTGCTTACTTGGTTGAGTTCAAACTTTCCAACTTCGACTTTTGCTACGAGCTGTTCTGGCCAATCCTCTTTGAAAAAAAATTTATATGTCAATTGATTGGGGAAAAAAATCTGAAAGATAATGAGACCTTACTGGTTAAATCCAAAACGTTATACCTAAACTTTTCGGCATCAGAAGGCGTCAAGACTTGAGCAAAGACAGTCCAACTGGGAAAACTGCCAGATTCGATTCGTGAAAAGAGATCCTACGAGCACAGAGCGTTAAGAGTTAAAGTTCGATAAAGATTAGAAAGAATGATGAAGGTAGAAAAGATGCTAACTTGTGCAGCATAATCGGGATTCTCGCCAGACATCTTAGTTGAATCAGCAGCCGTAAAGTTGTGAATTCCTTGATTACTGACAGCATGTAGCTTGACATATACCCAGGAAGCTGATGATGAATTATATATTAGTAAGTGCTGACCCAAAGTGGTATGAAGGACTCACAATCTTGCTTTACCCAGCGATATGCGTGAGACGTGAAGCCATCCATATTCACAACTCCTTGAAAATTGGAATAATCCAGACCATGTTAGCAATGCATTTGAGGAAATTTCGAATGTGAAATAGAATACCTTGTGGAGTTCCAGCGTCTGAGTAGAGTCTCAAAAACTGATGAAGAGATTCTGGGTTCTGCCCAAAGTAATCCCTGTTGATAGTGAACAAATGATTAATGGAATATGCACGTGAGACCTATTAGTCAAATAGAAACTCACCAGACTGCATTTGGGTCTTTACGATGCGTTTGAGGGTTACGTTTCTGCGTGTGAATGAAAAGAGGAAATTTTGCAGGGTCACGGATAAAGAAAACTGGCGTATTGTTCACTGAATATAGCAAAGTTGAAAGTTCTCGTCAGAAATCATCATGAATGACCTGCGACAAAGGGATATCTCACTCACTAACTATGTCCAAGATACCCTTCTGGGTGCGAAATCTGCGTGAGAGAACAACGTGAGGAAGAAGCTCTGCGGACATCGAAAAGTAAAACATACGTACTTCAGGGCAAAACCACTGGAGACAGTCGACATCAGTTAAAGTGTACGATATGCTAAATCCACAAATCATGCAGGAGAGATACTCACCGTGGGTCTCTGGCTGAGTCCGGCGAGCCCGCTTCTCCGCCAACAGTCGAAAGTCGAATGGTTATAGGAGTTTTTTTGCCAACTATAATATGACATCAAAGAAGAAGGATCAATTCACAAGCACTCGGATCAAGGTATTGCACTACATCCAAGCATACCATCGGAAAACATGTCCATCATCGTGTTTTGTTTGGCAAAATCGGTTGTTACCGTAAAAGTCCCGTGAGCGCCAGCTGGTGAGAAGGATGCACACATAAAGTCAGGTTGAATTTGAGTAATGATAATCTGGCGGGCCACGTACAAGCTGCAGCATGAACAACTCTTTCAGGGATACGCTCCCTTGCAAAGTGTGCAAGATGTTCAAGAAGATGATGATCTTGCAACAACAAGGGGCCTATTCGGAAAAATGGGTGAATGGCATTATATGATGTAGGAAAGTGACAAATGGATAGGTTATCAGTATCACGGTCATGTAGATAAAAGGTAAGTGAAAGTCTTCGCACCTGTCTCTCCGATGCGCTCCGCCGAAGCAGGACTAGCGTAGGGCTGTCCGTTTGCTCGAGTATATACAACGTCCTTTGCAGCGAGACGAGAGGTCTGTGTTTGCAGATCAAGTGCTGCGCTGAAATCTTGCTGACCGTAGGCGGATTGACGAGGGAAATTTCGAACAGCGCCGGGCCACCCATTGACTACTGAAAGAAAACAAATAGAAACACATATTATGGTATCCATCAAGGACACGGCTGAGAATAAAAGGTGAAGAATTACAATTAAAAAAACAAATTGTTTGATAGGATATAAAGACGAGAGGGGCCGAGAAGTCAAGTTGAACCTTGACATTTGCTTTATTGCGATGTCACTCGAAGACACTTGGGCGAAATTCACAAAGCTGGGTATTCCAGTTGGGCCAGTTTTTGTGTTGACAGTCGTTCAAATGATCCCGACTCGACTGGCCGTAACTGGGATGTATGATATGAGATCGCTGTCCCCAGTTGAATATTTCCTTGTCACAAACAGTGTCAGCGCAATCCCCCCTAAATCTCAGTGACTTACATCAAAGCCATACCGACTAATTCCAACTCCCGCTGCTCTACCTTCAAGTTCAACCTCGGCTGTCCGGGTGGATTTCGACTAAAAGGAGGGTATGTACCGCGGTTTGGTGCCCATAAGGCTCGTTGAGCAAAATCGAAAGGCTTCCGGCTCTTCGGTCAGTTCTTTGAGCTCCAAATCCTGGTTGCTGTTCATACGGCAACTCTCGCCTGACGTCATTCCGTTGGTCAATCGTTCATCCAGAGCTTTCCTTTTCTGTACTGCATTCAATTTTCTACATATTTCATACTTCTGTAACACCCTGGCGCCTTGGGAGTCAGGAGAAAAGCCAGATCTCCAGTTTGCAAGCAAATCTTTTCCAAATGATAACTCCTGACCAGAGTGTCGTTTTTCTGTAATTATCAAAAGTACTATAAACCTGAACTCGGCTCAAACGGTCTTTGGCTGTTTTTGGTGCACAGCTCATCAATCTCCATTTTTTTCTGCCTCTTCGTCGTTTCAGAGATGATGTTGAATGTATGGAGCTCTGCGTATGAGACTTTGTACATATCAGTTCATCCGATAAATGCCAGGTCGCCTATTCATCTGCTTATAAGAGGGTCTACGTGATAGGAATTTTCGACAAAGTCGATTTACTGGTCGATTACCTTGAGCAGGTTTGAACTGCCTAGTTCTAATCACGCGGCTAAGTGATAATCGGACTCAAAGGAAGAAAAGTTTCGAAGGGATCAAGATATATCGTGTCATATATTCCAAGCGAAGAAACAGACTGATACACTACGATGTATTTCAAATGGCTATTTGCACCAAGCAGCAGCAAGCCAATTCCAGAATTACTTAATTAAGTATGAATCAGTGAACTCGATACATCCACCAACATGCTGACACGATTTGCAAGAAAAAAGCTCAAAGAAATGGTTGAAAAAACAAAATTATTGTGTAGGTTTGCATTTGGAAATCCTTGCGGACAAGTCAGGGTCTGCTCGGGCGAAAACGTCTAAAGCAGTGGAGATCACAGTTGGATATTGGACCTTGAACAAGCTACCAGCTATGTTTCTGTATGGTTTCAGAAGACCGCATAAAAGCACTTAGAATCAGTGACGTCTAACAGAACTAGAAAGCTCATCACAAGCTTACGAGGCGAGGTTATTCTTCCCTTCCTCCGAAAGACCTTGATAGAACATTCGAGGTTGTTCAAAGTCGATGTCGGAAATCTTCAAGGAGTACCATTGTTAGTAAGGAGAGCTATAGCTTCGGACCAAACTACATCACTCACTGTACTCAGATAGTTGACGGCCCCGCCAGTCCAGATCGTGTGGTTGGAGTCATCATACTGTTGCTGTGGGAGGTTGATGCTCTGGAAGGTTGCAAGGTAACCAAGTCGGGAGCCCTGGTTTCCGGAAATTCCACCAAAGGCCCCATCACGTTGGATATTGGCTAGCGAACCGAAGCAATAAGACAATTTGATTAGTCAAAATTCCTCTGAGAGTTATACTTGGCGATAACGTACCGACTGGGTTGATAGGACAGTTCACAGGAAGTTGTTGAAAGTTTGCTCCAAGACGGTAACGCTGCCAAACAAGATCAACAAGATTAAGAAAAATCGAAAAAGTCGACTCAAAAAGGGAGGTGACTCGGACTAACCTGAGCATCAGCATATGAGAAAGCTCTGGCTTGGAGAACTGGGTCTTCACTGATATCCCAGCCATCAACGACATTGGAAGGGGCAAAAGCAGCTTGCTCGATCTATTGTCACACTTGGTCAGAGAAGAAATACAGTTGTGATTTTGTTGAAATAAAAAACTGACCTCAGCAAAGAAGTTTGTAGGGTTCTGGTTTGAAAGGGTTTACGTCAATTAAAAATTGTATCCGTATTATTTGGTCAATGTAGTCTTGAAGGTGGCTAATTACCTGGTTGAGTTCAAACTTTCCAATCTCGTGCTTTGCAACAAGGTTTTCAGGCCAATCCTCTGTTGCGCGATGGAAGATGTCAACACTTATCTTGCGTATTTGACTTGCGATATGGTAAGAACTTACTGGTTAAATCTAAAACATTATACCTGAACTTTTCGGCTTCAGCGGGCGTCAAGACTTGAGCGTAGACAGTCCAGCTGGGGAATTTGCCGGATTCGATTCGGGTGAAGAGATCCTGCGATAAGGGAGTGTACCATTTAGAAGGTCGAAGAAAATCACGCTTTTCGCGATACTAATTTTGAGCATACAAAAAGTACGTACTTCGGCAGCGTAATCGGGGTTCTCACCAGCAATCTTCTCAGATTCAGCAGCGGTGAAGTTGTGGATCCCTTGATCACTGACGGCATGCAACTTGACATAAACCCACGAAGCTGATGAAACAGTATACATGAGCAGATACTCAAGTAAATTGGTCCGAAATACTCACAATCTTTCTTGATCCAGCGGTATGAATGGGAGGTGAAGCCATCCATGTTGACAAATCCTTAAAATTAAACGATCAAGGTGATGTTAGTTGTACTTACGAAGGCATATTATGGGGCGAGAGAATTACCTTGCGGAGTTCCAGCGTCTGAGAAGAGTCTCAAGAACTGATGAAGACTTTCAGCATTTTGTCCAAAGTAATCCCTACAGACAGTCGAGAAATGGTGAATGGCTACTCTGGCGTGAGATCTACTGGTATCCGCTCACCAGACTGCATTTGGGTCTTTACGGTGAGTTTGCGGGTTGCGCTTTTGAGTGTGGACGAAAAAAGGAAACTTTGCAGGGTCACGGAGGAAGAAAACTGGCGTGTTGTTCACTTAAGGTGATGAAATGCATCACAGGGCCGGGTTAAAATCCGTCTTTGCGGAGCTCAGACGGTCCAATAGGTCACTCACTGACGATATCCCAAATACCCTTTTGAGTGCGGAACTTCATGGCAAACCCACTGTGAAGAACACAACATGAGCCAAAGTATGCGGTGCGAAGAGGTCACATTTCAGGGAGGTCAGCCACTCACCGAGGATCTCTCGCTTGGTCAGCCGAACCGGCTTCTCCTCCCACGGTAGAGAATCGGACCGTGATAGGCGTTTGCTTGCCAACTTAGTTGTTTATTGAAGAGTAGTAATAGTCAAGACTCCACTTTTACAAGGTACCTTACACACTATCGATACGTACCTTCGGAGAACACGTCCATCATCGTATGTTGCTTGGCAAAATCAGTTGTTGTCGTGAAGACCCCATGTGCGCCAGCTGTCGACGAAGATGCGCGCAGAGCGTCAGCTTCAATTGACAATGCGAATAGTATTGAACAGACTGCGTACCTCCAGCGGCATGGACAACCCTTTCGGGAATGCGTTCCCTTACAAAGTGGGCAAGATTTTCAATCAAATGATGGTGTTTCAACAAGATGGGCCCTTTGTTGGAGAATTACATCAAGCACACGCGTAAATTTCCAATTCATAGTTTATCAATATCGAAACCATGTAGATAAAAGACAGATGAAAATCTTCGCACCCGTCTCTCCAATGCGCTCGGCTGAAGTAGGATTGGGGTATGGCTGCCCATTCGCCCGAGTGTATTGGAGATCCTTTGCTGCCAAATGTGACGTCTGCAACTGAAGCTGAAGAGCTTGGCTGAAGTCTTGCTGACCGTGCTCGGCGCGAGGAAGGTTGTGCTGGGCATCAGGCCACGCATGGGCAACTGAGAGAAAAAGAATAGAAGCACGCATGATTGCATCCATATTTCAGAAGAGTTGAAGATAGACGACTACAAATTATTACGAAGAGGATTGGAAGATTCTGAGAAAAGCACGGAAAACGCAACTGGGGAGGAAGACTAGTGTACAAAAGACGCGCAGATTTAAGCCTTTGGCTTTTGCTTCGTGGCGCCAAGGCATATGGGCGGCGGTTTCTAGAGACAGTGGCAGACACTCGAAGAGACCCTTCACATGAACCCGGTGGGAGATTCTAAATCCTTTCTCTTGCGTATGGCACCGTCATTGGAAATTTCACAAAAGGTTGTCACAATTTACAGCGCTTCAAGAATCCTTCGGTTTTTTTTAACGCATGAAAACGAGATAACAGTCCAAAACCCTCGCTAAAACCCTCGGTGAAACCGATTTTGTACTAGAATCTGTCAAATTTGAACTGTCCAAATGAGTTTTTTCCGAGTTTTGTCCAAAACTTAAAAAAAAAGACCACCAAATAAACCGAAGGATTCTTGAAGCGCTGTACAAATTTCCCGCCAATTTGCTCGAGTTTGGCTAAACGGGACGCAGCTAGCGAGGCTCGAAGCGTGCGAGACGCAGCGTGGGACTTTGTTGAGTTTAGAGTTTGGCGGGCAAAATTGGTCAAGATTTTGTACGGTATATAAATAGAGAATAATCACGACTTCACTCCCACAGGCCAGGTATCGCACCCTCAAAAGAACAAGACTCACCGAGACGCCTGAAGTTATTCTACCTGAAGGTTCTGTGATAACTATGAGAAATCTCTGGACTTTCACAAAGAGACAAAGAGTTTAAAATCCGAGTTTTGACATTTGGAAATTTAATTTGCTAACAGAGTCGCGACATGTGACAAATTGGATTTGTGTGACAATTTGATCTGCATCCGCGAGGTAGATTCACACAAGCGCAAATGTAAACCCGTGATGGAGGCACCGCGGAACCCTGTATTCTTCCACTACCAGTCGAGTCGAGGAGAGATGTAAAATCGACTGGTAGTGGATTTTGCGTGTTCTCAACTGTTCTCAGATAACACTTGAGAACGGACCCCGATACAGGCTCACACTCGGCCAAGATTTTTTTCAAAATCTTGACCCGAACTTGACCAAATCCGGCTTAAGAAATCTGGTGAGAAACCATACGGGCCAGTCCCTTTTAGCGACCACCAGGCGTGCTTTAGGCGTGCTGAGCCCCTTGTAACCATCAGGATCTTGTCAATCATGTGTAACCTCTCGATTCAAGATAGTCCTACTTTTCATTTGTAAATAAGAAGATAAACGATGGACTGACGAGTATGTTCATTTCAAGATGCTTAATGTATTGACAAATCCGTGATGTTTAAGATGAGGAACATCTTGATATTTTACAATCTTGTGTCCTTGACTACCTACCTATGTGCAGAATGAAAGTTTCCTTTTCCAACTTGAACATTCGCATCCTATACATATACTTTTTTGTATAAAAAACCAAAAATCTTCTCGAGAATCAAATGATAATAAAGACAAATAGTGGTTTGTTTTGTCTTGCACTCCACTCAGAATGAACAACAAGAAGAATTGTTGTGACTTGAAAGTTATGGGATTGAAATAAAAAAAGGTTTTCCAATCGTAATGAAAAACTGGATGTAATGACTTGAAAGTTATACGATTAAAATGAAAGAAAACAAGATTATTTGTTGAAACTTTTACATTCGACAGGGAAAACAAGGCGTTGAATAACGAGTCATAGTTTGCTTCTCTCTCAGTAATGTGATCATTAGCGGTGAAACGGCAAATATTATTTATAGAGTTCCAAAAACTGAAACTGAAAACATGCGAAAAGATCATAAATCGTGATCAGATACCCATTGCTCAGTCACTTTCATCTCCATTCTCCCCTATGCGGGCTTCTTCCGTCTCAGAAGACATCCTCCGCTTCTTGTTCTTCACCCGATACTTGTCAAGAATGAAGCCCTCAATCGGGATGAGGGAGATGGGGTTCAAAAGCATGTCAATGTTTACTCTTCGAGCCATTTCTTCCGTGAGACCAGAATTGGGTTTAGTGATCCAAGATCTGTAGAGGCAGTCGGATGGTTCGTATTGTAAGTTGAAACCTTCGTCTCGCAGTCGATCTTCACAATTTGACCACGGCCAACGCCCTTGCGGCTTCTTAGTAACTTTTTCTGCAAAAAGGTACAGTGAGCCATTGTAACATAAGCACCAATAATGTTCTAATACATACGAATTATCTGGTTCAAACTGTCCTTCAACTTATCCTTTTCCACTGTTGGACCTCCTGGAAGTAGGTTGTAAAGTAGAAGACTGTTATTGTTCACGTCAGAAAAAGATACAAGATAGAATTATGGGACTCACTTGCTCTCTTAGGCCGTACAAGGCCTGCGATTGTCTTACCTGTAACATACGCTTGCATTTTTGAGGTAGTGCTTTCATGCTTTGCAGACGAACCGAGGTCATAGTCAGCCCAATCCCACAGACCAGGTGTAGTGGCCATGAATTGAAAGCAATGTGTTGAAAGGTGAGTCGACACCGCTGTGATGGTGAATTGGACCGGATGAATGCGAGACATGTGGTTTGCCTACAAGCCACCAAATCAGCATGCTTATTAATGAAGTGATGCATGAAAAGGACAGAGAAATAAGGGGATACATACCTTCTTGATAAAATCGGATACAAAATCTTCGCAGTGAATTCTTGAGCGCTCTAAGTCGCGTCCCGTTGTCCGCAAGCCAGCCTGACGAGTAACTTCATCGTTGGATCCACGAACCACTGTGACTAGGCCCTTTTGAATGGGTCTATTGTCTGGTATCTCTACATGATCGAGACCATAATTATCGAGACCTTCATCGACGTTGTCTGATGTGTCAATATCACAATCCTTGGGAATCAACGCCTCCTTCTCGTCCTGTGATAAGGTGGCCCAGAGCTCCTTCACCAGTTGCACAGCTACGTTATTTGTTGCTCCGCCGTCTGTGAATATTGATATGTCTCAATTTAAAATCTTCACAAACATCTAGGAATGATACCACTTCTACTCACTGTTCCGGTAGATCTCCCTCACTTGCTGAGTCCCCTTGAAGTAATCGTAAGCCCTTGAAGCTCGGAGATACGTCCATTTTCCACTGTGAGGAAGAGAAATTGAGATGAATACGGAATCAAATATGTAGATAATCAAGATGATCGGATCTCACACTTCCGTTGCCGCAACATCTTGTGATATTCCAAGATGTATGCACAAGATCGCGAGAAGCTTCTCGGAGGAGTAATGGAAGTTGCGGAGGATTTCTTTTTTGGCTTTCGACAATCCGCCTTTCTTTGTACCGTCTCCTCGGCTATGCTTGTCGGCCATCCTTCTAAGCTCTACAGCATTAAATTTATTATACAATTGATCAACTGTAAATTGTTCTGGGAGTTTTACATCATCAGGTAAACGGAACGATGGTGCTAGAAACTCATCAATGGTGGCCTTCGAGGTCTTGGTGGCTGTTGTGGTGGCTGTTGTCGAGTCTCCTACGTGTGTAGGTTGCTTTTCTGTTGGTTTTTCCTTAGCATTCTTACTTTGGGTCGATTTTTTCACTCGCGATGATGCCTTCTTTGTTGTTTGTGAAGTTTGATTTAATTGTACAGGTGGCATTGATGGCATTGGTAGGGTAGGTCTTACTTGCTGTGCGAGAGATGGCTGTTGGAAGCATGAGTTCGATGAATCTGTTTCAGTTGATGCGCAATTGGTTAGAGAATTGAGGTTGATAGTTATAGGTGCACGTTGAGGTCTTGGAACTGTAATCTGATGATGAGTTTGGTTGGGATTTGATGTTTGATTATCTTGGTAATTACTTGTATCAATCAGATGATCTCGGTTAACGGTTGAAAGGCTAGTTTGATTGATATCAATACGGCTATGTAACTGTCGAGCAGGATCAATGATAGGATGTAGATTGCTATTAAGATGGTTATTTTGATTGAGACTGATTGTTTGACGTGGATTCGTGTAAATAGGAATACGTTGATCAAGATCAATGGGATTGGTATCGAGTTGATTGAGATTATGATTCTGATTATGATGCATAGTTGGATTTGAATGATTAGCAGGACCATTTGTATTAAATGAATGATTAAAAGGGCCTTGATTAATGCCAAATTGATTGTTAAGACTATTATTGATAAGTCCGTTTGGAGTGAGATTGGTTTGATGCAATTGTGAAGCTGGAAGGTGGTCATTTTGAGCAAACATCAGGCTGTTAGTATCTGTAGACCGTGTTTCAAACATATTCTGGAAATCAGTGTTGCCAGTTTCTGAATTTGATTGACTATAGTCCATTGAAGATTGAAGCTTGGTCTTCTTGGATTGGAAATCTTCTTCTTGCAAGATGCTGGTAGAGTTGTGGACGCGTAAATATGATGATTGTATGCGGGTGATATAGTAATGCACCCCACAGGCTCAGATGACTAAGGTTTTACTACTAGTTTAAAGCATTAGTACGTGGCGTTAGCAAGAATTGGCGCAATAAGGGTGGCAAAAAAAATGGCAAAAACTCAGTTAATTATTGCAATAATGGTGGTAATAACATGGCAAAAACTCAGTACGAGTAAAATCTAGAGTAAAATGTAGTAAAAGCCAGTGTGAATTGAAATCTTGTAAACCCCGTGTTTTTACAAAAATTCAAGTTGGTGGTCTAGTTGAACCACATTGTGTAGTTGAACCACATGTTTGAGACATATGCTTGATCAGTGTTTACTGGAGGCAGTTGAATCACATAAAAAAAGTTACTAGCAATCATGACCTTGCAATTCAGCGTGCTGAATTGGAAATATATAGGGGTCCATGGATGTTTCCACAGATTTCAGAGGTGTTTTGTGGTTGTATATTGGCACAGGGGTTGAATTTCTGGTGATAATAGAACCTCATTGATTTGTTTTTGGACAAAAACTGACAATGTTATTGAAAATATGGTCAGTTAGTAGCTTTTGTACCCCTATGTTTGCATTCGCAGAAACACACTTGATAAGTAAAACTTTTCAAGTGTCTGCGCAAACCCAAAAGTTGAAGCTGGTTTGCATTTTTGCAGTGTTGGCCTTTAATCTATATCACTTATATATAGGAGGATAGCACTTCAAGAACCACTTATGGCTCTTGTAGTGGCCTTTGTACCCCTACATTTGCTTTCGCGGCAACATACTCCATAAGTAAAAATTCTGGAGTTTTTGTGAAAACCCAAAAGTTGAGGATGTTTTGGATTTTTGAAGTGTTGGGCTTCAAAATTTATAACTTTTATACAGAATTGTCTCACTTACAGAACCACTTATGGCTCTTGTAGTGGCTTTTGTACCCCTACATTTGCTTTTGCGGAAACATACTCCATACGTAAAATTCTGGAGTTTTGGTGCAAACCCAAAAGTTGAACCTGAGTTATATTATTGGAGCATGGGGCCATCAAATTTTCAACTTTTATACAGAAATATATCACTTAC